AAAGGTTGTGGTTGTTATTATGTGTTTTATATATGTGTTGTCTAAGAACTATTGACAGAATATGGGTGGGTTTACTTACTGCCAAAGATGTATCGAAGAACCACCTTTTGAATTTTCCTTTTTTTGCTTCATTCCTGTTCATTACATCTCCATACCAGTCGACGACATCAGTTGTGATTTCACAGCCAATGTCAATCAACTGTACTGACTCCCTTTTCAGCAAGAATGTTCCATCCTTCCTTTTAAACATTATCTCATCACTGTATAAAAGCACATCACAACAGGACGGATGGTTTACTTTAATTTATGACATCAAACAATAGGTTACCACAACAAAACCATAGCTTACCACATCTTACCATATGGTAATAAGTAAAACACACCAGCTTACCACATCTTACCATATGGTAATAAGTAAAATAGAACAGGAGTTATGGTTTAATCCATTCTTTAACAACAAACCTTAGCTTACCACATCATACCATATGGTATTAAACTAAAACAAAACAGGACTTGTGCATTACTACATTTTGTAACATTAAACCATAGATTTATCTAATTTTACCATATCTTACCACATTTTACCATATGGTAACAAACTAGATCACTACAGTAAAATCATATAACAGTAGAAGTTTTAAGATGATGACTTACCTCTTGACAAATTTCTTGTTCTTGCATCTTATGTACTCCAAGATGTTGCTGAACATATCATCAGGTGTTGTTTGTGTTGGTGTTGACCATTCAACTGGTGTTTTTTGTGATTGTGGAGCAACTGGATCAACAGTTGGAGAATTCAGGTCCTCAAGGTAAGCATCTATGCATTCACGGACTTCCTTGAGCTTCTCTTGGCTGTTTGTGTACAGATTTGACCATATAGCATATGACGCCGTCTGTGACTGGGTGCTTTGTGGGTGTGCTGGTGGTGGTGTTGTTCTTGCCTTCTTTTCATATACATTCAAATTCTTCACCACGATTCTTCTTTTGCGAGGCTCTCCTGGTTGATCGGTTGCCGTGTTGGTAGTCAACTTCGTTGGTGTTGTTGGTGTTTGACGGTTGAGAGGGCTGAGATCAAAGGATGGAATGTCGTCTTCCCTTGTCACTTTAGGCTTCTCAGCATCTTTGGTTGTCAGTTTTGGAGCCTCTTCTCGAACAACATCATCTGACACCGTTTTCTCGCTGTCAGTTTCTGGAGTCTTTTGCGCAGCTTGCCCTGTATTCCCTTCTTCTGTTGTTTCCTTGTCAACTTCCATTGGATCTGCTGTTTTGGTAGCTCCTTTTTCTCCTGTTTCTTTTGCAGATGTCTGTTCTGGAACTGCTTTCGGGGTGTCCTCTGGTTGTGGTGTCCCCTGATTCAGACCTTCTTGAACAGATTGTTCTGGTGGTTCTGTTGCAACTTCCCCCAGTGGACCTCCTTCTTTTGGGATGCTTTCCCTATTCACAGCTCCTGGATCAGAAACATCTTGCTCCTTTTCTTTTGGCTTCGGTGTAGATGCAGCAAGATCGACTGTAGATGGTTGTGAATCATCTTCTTTCTGTGTTTGCTCCTCCTTCTCCTCTTTGTTCTGGTCTATCTTTGCCTGTTTGAATATTTCATTGAGTGTTTTATTCAAACTGGCATTCATTTCTTCATCATTCTCTTCTTCATCATCTTCACACTGAAATTTTTCTCCTTCTGTTGGCTGAACATTTTCATCACAGCTTTCTTTCGCAAGATTCTCCTTGTGTCTGATCAGATTGTCAATTTGGCTTTTGTACTGGTCTTTGATTGCTTTCATCATTGCCTTCATTGATGCTGCAAGCAGTTTGATTGCATTCTCAGCCTGCATAATGGGAGTTTTTGTAAGATACCATGGTGGTAATACATGGTATTGGCAATTATTATCACTATTCTGCATTTTTTATAACATGAAACTATATCTTACCACACCTTACCATATGGTAACAAAGTAAAACTGAACAAGAATTATGGTTTCCTCCATTTTTATAACATGAAACCATTGCTTACTACACATTACCATATGGTAACGTATTAAAACACAACAGGACTTATGTTTTCCTCCATTTTTATAACATGAAACCATAGCATACCACACCTTACCATATGGTAACAAACTAAAACACAGCAGGACTTGTTGGTTTTTTGCTATTTTTAAAACATGAAAGCATAGCTTACCACACATTACCATATGGTAACAAAGTAAAACAGAACAAGAATTATGGTTTCCTCCATTTTTATAACATGAAACCATTTGCTTACCACACATTACCATATGGTAACGAAGTAAACCACAACAGGGGCTTATGTTTTGCTCCATTTTTATAACATGAAACCATAGCTTACCACACCTTACCATATGGTAACAAACTAAAACACAAAAGGACTTACGCTTAGTATTAATTGGACAACTGTAATATAGATAATTTGTACTTACTTGGTTGACTGTTCTGATATTCTTCAAATCAAAGTTCAGTGATGATGACTGGTCTGGACTTTTGTTTCTTTGTCTTTTCGGTGATTCTTAGACTGGCTCATTCTCCTCTTCCTCATCAGCTGCACCATCAGCCTCATCGTCATTAATGTTGGCAAGCTTTTCGATCTCGTTCAACTCTTTTCCATTGTAGTAGCTCTTAATGTTCTCAAAGTTGCTATCAACATTGTTATCATCATAGTAGCTTACTGTTGGTGTTCGAAGCTGGGTTGAGAATGCCATTTCGTCCAGTTTGTACATGAAGCATACCTTTTTATGCAGATAGTTGTATTAGTTTTTTTCAAAGAGTATCATTTATATATAAAATATATGAGTAACAAGGTTGAAATGGCCAAGGGAATGGAGACTTACTGTAAGGAAGTGAAGATCTGCACTGACATAGAGCTTTGGTGATTTCAATCCTTCATTCATGTGTTTGAAGAAGTATTTGCACCAGTTGTAGCTGGTGAAATGTTTCAGTTCTTCGGTCTTCAAGTACTCAAGCATGTTGAGTTCACCCATAGGTGCTGAAGTTGGACACAGCAAGCCTCCGGTGACCAGCAGAAAGAAAAATTGCATCCATCTCTTAGTCAGTGTGGTTGTAGGAAGATCTTTTTCTACCTGACTTAGCTTTACCCTTGGAGTGGATGTTCCATCTACTTCGAGTAGGGTTTCTACTGCATAATCTGCTGCGTCATCCCAAGAAATCGTGGGAGGTACAACTTCCCTATCCCCCATCGGCAGACCATATACCCTATGAAAGTCGATTGGTGATATCTTCATGTGTGTCCCGTCAGGTAACTTGAACGATTCTTTCTCTGGATCGTATTTGTTCATTACGAACAGTGCAAAATGGTTGTTTATCTTTGTCTGCTTGATTGATATTAAGCCTGCTAGGCCTAATATGTCAAGTTGCTCTTTCCGCTCATCTGTTATTGACCTTGCAATTGCAGATATTCTTGTTGGGCTGCACCTTGTGCGAAAACTGTGTCTTGGTTTTACCATAGTGTACCTGAATGTAGAAATTAGTAATAGTCTGTTAGTATGCTTTTTACCATAATATACCATATGGTACGATAATGGTTTCCTACCATACGAAATCAAACCATATATTTATCTCATTTTACCATATGGTAATTACATCAAACCATGTCTTATAACATATTACCATATGGTAACGAAGTAAAACACAACAGGACGTATGTTTTCCTCCATTTTTATAGCATGAAACCATAGGTTACCACACATTACCATATGGTAACAAACTAAAACACAGCAGGACTTATTGTTTTTTTGCTATTTTACAACATGAAACCATAGGTTACCACACATTACCATATGGTAACAAACTAAAACACAGCAGCACTTATGGTTTTTTTGCTTTTTTACAACATGAAACCATATCTTACCACACATTACCATATGGTAACAAACTAAAACACAGCAGGACTTATGGTTTTTTAGCTTTTTTACAACATGAAACCATAGCTTACCACACATTACCATATGGTAACAAAGTAAAACACAGCAGGACTTATGGTTTTTTGCTTTTTTACAACATGAAACCATAGCTTACCACACATTACCATATGGTAACAAACTAAAACACAGCAGGACTTATGGTTTTTTGCTATTTTACAACATGAAACCATAGGTTACCACACATTACCATATGGTAACAAACTAAAACACAGAAGAACTTATGGTTTTTTGCTATTTTACAACATGAAACCATAGGTTACCACACATTACCATATGGTAACAAACTAAAACACAGAAGGACTTATTGTTTTTTTGCTATTTTACAACATGAAACCATAGCTTACCACACATTACCATATGGTAACAAACTAAAACACAGCAGCACTTATGGTTTTTTGCTTTTTTACAACATGAAACCATATCTTACCACACATTACCATATGGTAACAAACTAAAACACAGCAGCACTTATGGTTTTTTTAGCTTTTTTACAACATGAAACCATAGCTTACCACACATTACCATATGGTAACAAAGTAAAACACAGCAGGACTTATGGTTTTTTGCTTTTTTACAACATGAAACCATAGCTTACCACACATTACCATATGGTAACAAACTAAAACACAGCAGGACTTATGGTTTTTTGCTATTTTACAACATGAAACCATAGGTTACCACACATTACCATATGGTAACAAACTAAAACACAGAAGAACTTATGGTTTTTTGCTATTTTACAACATGAAACCATAGGTTACCACACATTACCATATGGTAACAAACTAAAACACAGCAGGACTTATTGTTTTTTTGCTATTTTACAACATGAAACCATAGCTTACCACACATTACCATATGGTAACAAACTAAAACACAGCAGCACTTATGGTTTTTTTGCTTTTTTACAACATGAAACCATATCTTACCACACATTACCATATGGTAACAAAGCAAAACATAGTTTTTTGCCTTTTTATAACGTGCAATCATAGTTTACCACGCCATACCATGTGGTAACGAAGCAAAACACAACAGATTCTACACCAGTTCAGCAATGCATGCTAACGATTCGGTAATGTAGCAAGTTTTACTACAATTTTCACATGAAGAGTGACTGAAATACTGTTTCTATTGTTCTATGGATGGATTTCGAAGAAAGAAGTGAGGTTTTACGTTGATATTTTGTGCGAAAACGATTTTTGAGACTCGTTGAAGTTGGAAACCCTTCGTTTTTCGACGAAGAAGCGAGAACAGTGTATCGTTGAATGATTCTTCGAAAAGCTTTGCGAAAATCGTTCGATTTGAAGTTTTTTCTGGAAGTTTTTGCTGCGATTTTGGTGAGAGAATAGAGGAACGGGAGGAAGAATGGAGAGAAGGCGGGACGGTTGTCGCGGTCACGTCTGCAATTCAAATTGTCAGAAGGAGAGAAGGCGTGATTACCTTTTTGCCCCCGCGTGTATTTAATTGCCATGATCTGACGGTTGGGAAGATGGCGCGATGGACGGTCAGATGGACGGTTACTGACCGTTACTGATAGGTCGGTTACTGATAGGATCCGGACCCGAGAAAACCCTCGACGGACAATGGAGTTTAAGCCCCAACGTGAGGAGAGGAAGATGAAAGGGGTATAGAGATCGGGTGGGCTGAGTCAGGTATGGTTGGGATTAATTCGGTCGATGTTTCTTTTATCACTCTCGAATTATCATAGAGCGGTACTACAAAAAGACGAGTGTTTCATTAATTTTTTATTAATATTTTTGTGACATGGCATGCTGACGGAAAATAATAAATGGATTTTTGGATGGAGATGGACATAATGATTGTTATTCGTCCAAACATATTATATTAATTGTGCAAAATTAAATTTTAGTGATCGTTTTGTACTAAGCGATAAGTTGTGTGACCGTTTATAATAACTAACTGCAGAAGGAGCATCCTCCCCTTGAGCATACTTGTCAATCGGAAGATTCTCAAGCTGCTGATCGATTGCCGCAGGCAACAAATGCGGATGAGATTGCAGAAACTGCGCCAGGAACTGACCCAATGTTTCGCTGTGGTAGTAGGTTGGGGAATCGAAAGGAAGAAGAGCATATGGATATTGAAGTATTGTACTGTCGGATGAGCTCCGACCTTCTCCAAGAGAAGCGGTCGCAGACGTTGGCCGACATCGCCACCAACACCTTGCTCATCGTATGCATAAGTTGTTTTGTCATAAACCAAATGGTCCCAAGCTTTAAGACAACTGTTAATATTGGGGTCGTGAAGCACGTGACCTCAAGGACAAACGATCTTTGATATCATGTCATAAACCAACTGGTCCTAAAAACTCGAGTTATTGGGACCAGTTGGTTTATGACAAGTTTCCCTTGTTTGTATGATTCTCTTGTCCCATCCCTATTTTAAGTGGTTATCGCTACACGAGAGTTGGCCCATGTTGCATAAAAGCCCGATAACTACGTGGCAGAATATTTTAGTGTTTATGAAAATTAAACTACAAACAAGTCTCAGTCCTGAGTTTTGATTAAGCTCGGCTCGAGTTCGATTGCAATGCTTGAGCTCGAGCATGGCTCAAACTTGATATGAGTTATAATAATAAAAGCTCGAGCTCGACTGGACATAAAGTCTTCAAGTTCGAGCTCGATTTGAGTTTGAAAATAGCCCGTGAACAATACTAATAGACTCAACTCGTAAATAAACCTCGAGCTCGACTCGAATTTCCTTCCAGCAAAATATAACCTTGTAAACCCTAAAATCTCTTTACAAATTACAATCATCCATAACCTGATTACCTGTGTCTTCAAAATAAAAATTTCTGTTTTAAATCAAGTTACAATCATGAAAATTGGAGCAAAACTACATTACATCACTTACCTTGTATGTCTTCAAAAGTTCACATTTCCACGTAGGGGTGGCAGTTCGGTTATTTTGGTTATAACTGGTAACCGATTGGCCGGTTATCGGTTAACCGAAATAACCACTCCCCCTACCAAAAACCGCCCAAAATAGGCTTCGGTGCTCGATTATCTCGGTTATCGGTTAACTGAACCACTTTTAAGACCAAAAACCATTTCGTCCAGCCTCCGATAACCGACCGAAATTTGGTTACCGATTAGTGGATAACCGACCGGTTATCGGTTTAACCGGTCGGTTAACCGGTAACCGATAACCGAACAACCACCCCTATTTCCACGTTGCAAATCCTTTATAAAAAAGAACTTCATAGCTCCAACAAAGGGACAAAGAAAAATATATCATCTTCCTATCTGATCATTCACGTTTGTTAATTGAAACTTTGCACGCGTGTACCAGATGATGGGTAATTACTAGGGACGGCAATGGGGCGGGTTTGCCTAAACCATCCCCATCCCCATCTTCAAATACCCGAACCCATACCCGTCCCATACCCATGCGGGGGAATGTTTTGCAAACCCATCCCCATACCCGTGGGTTTTGGGTACCCATGGGTAATACCCATCCCCGTACATCCAACATTATTATACCTAAAACTTACAAGAAAAGTTTTAATTATAACCATAAACAAACCTATTATATCATGAAGTCAACAAAACACGGTCATTTTCTAAATACGATTCAAAGAATATGATCCTAAAACATCCATTAATACATAATATAGACTACAATATTTTTTAAATTATCATGCTCTAACCCTTGATACATTTACTAAGTAATAATTAACTAACATTATCTTGTTGACAAGGGGGAAAATGAAAGAGTGGAAGGAGAATTGAGGGAAATGAATTAGGTTTTGTTTAAGGTGGTTACTCAATTGCATTTCTACTATTTATTTTCTCGAGTTATCATCATCGTCATTGATAGATTACAATTTAATCCACATATTTTTTATATGTGAAGAAATTCTCTTGGTGGGGCGGGTATGGGTATGGGTATGGGGCGGGAGAGGCTAAAACCATACCCGCCCCATACCCATCAAACTTTTTGCAGGTTTTACCCATACCCGCCCCATACCCGGTCAAAGCGGGGATTCCCCGCGTTGACTGGGTCGGGGGCGGTCGGGTACCCACGACCATGGGTTTGATTGCCATCCCTAGTAATTACATAACTTGTTCTGGATTCCAAAAGATGGAGCAAAATTGTGCTATAGAATAAAAATCAACCCATAAGATTCACACTCCCAACACAAAATATTACACGGTATATCAGTAATTGACGATTCATTTGCTTTATTGATTTGAAAAATGAAAGTTTTGATTAAAACTTGGGTTTTATAAAATCATGAATTTATCATAGAATTAGTTCATTAGGGTCTTAGCCAAACCATTGTTTGCTTATTGGATTTCATGATGGATTTTGTTGAATTAGATTGTGGATATGAAACACAATTTATCTTATTCCCCTTTTTAATTATTAACAAGCACCAAGGCAAAATAAATCAGATCACCTAGGACATGTGGCTGATTCTTCCTAATTCAATCAATACTTTATTATTCTATAAAGATTTAGACATAGAACAAGAAAAAAGATACCTTACCCTAGTGTCAACAACATAGATGATTCGATTGTCCTTTAGATACCGCTATTTCTGAACTCTATTTAGAGGGATTTCCCAATATACATTATCTCCTCCATTCACCGCAATACGATCCATTCCCATTTAGCTTTCTTTTCTACAATGTACCTTGATAGTGTGCAATGCCAATCGTAATTAGCGTCGATGAAATGGTAGAGTCTGAGGACTCTCTCTGTGTTTCTTAATGAAGATCAAACCCATGACCTACTTTCCGAGCTTCATGTTTCTATTTTTGAGTTTAAAGAGCCTAAAAGAGAAAAATTAATAGAAACTAACCCAATGTATAAAGAAAAGTCTTGTTCAACAAGAACTTCTTTCTTCGTCGATGCATGCAAGGAAAAAGAGAAAAGGAAATAGAATTAAAACAAAGGCAATTATATGAAATTGGAATTAAAGAAGAGCTTGAACTATTTTTTCTTTTTTACAATGTCCTAAGACTTGGATAAAATACTCCTCCTTTCAGTATTAATGACAGCTTCTGAGAAAACTATAGTTATAGGAATAGTCAAAATATCACAAGCCATCCTTGATAAGACCTTATAACTAATTTTTTCTTCCTTCAACCGCTCAATAATATCAAAATTACAATATGTCGGCACCATTTAAAATCTACCGGCAGAATAAACACCCAATGTTTTTTTGTCGGAACCCTTATGAAGTCTTTTGCTTATATTTCATTAGTTACCTCGTCTTTGTTCATTATGTACCGTCAATGTGTACTTTAACCTCTCACTGGCCACATCTCGTATCTTTATGGTACGATCAGTTGAGCCAGTACAAAACCATGTATTACGTATTTAGTTTTATTGTGATAAGAAACGAAATAATGAAACATATTAATTGTGAGTCCGGGGACTCTCTCTCAATGTTTCTTAATGAAGATCAAACCTAAGAGCTACTTTCCGTGCGTCATGTTTTGATTTTTGAGATTAAAGACCCTAAAAGAGAAAAATCAATAGAACTAACCCAATGCATTAAGAAAACTTTAGTTCAAAAAAATTTCATTCTTGGTCGATGCATGCAAGGAAAAAGAGAAAAGAAAATAGAATTAAAACAAAGGCAATTATATCACAAGCCGTCCTTGACAAGACCTTATACCTCATTCTTTATTTCTCCCACCGCTCAATAACATCAAAATTACAATATGTCGGCACAACGTAAAACCCACCAGCAAAATAAACATCTGATGCTTTTCTGTTGGAACTCTTATGAAGTCTTTTGTTTCTATTTCATTAGTTACCTCGTATTTGTTTAATGAGTACCGTCAATGTGTACTTTAACCTCCCACTGGCCACATCTCATATCTTTATGGTACGATCAGCTAAGCCAGTACAAAATCATGTATTACGTTGTTTTGTGATAGGAAATAAGATAATGAAACATATTAATTGTATCAACAAAATGATAAAATTGTATAATGAAAACATCATACATGGTTTTGTACTAGCTCAACGGATTAATGCTTTTATGTTGGAACCCTTCTGAAGTCTTTTGTTTTATCTCATTAGTTACCTCGTATTTGTTCAGTGTGTCCAGGCAATGTGTAACCTCCCGCTGGCCACGTTCCATATCTTTATGGTACGATTAGCTGAGCCCCTCCTATTTGTCAGTGTGTCTAGTCAGTGAGTACTTTCACCTCTCATTGGCCACATCTCATATCTTTATGGTACGATCAGCTGAGTCAGTACAAAACCATGTATTACATTGTTAGTTTTATTGTGATGGGAAACAAGATAATGATACATATTAATTGTAGCGACAAAATGATAACATTATACAAGTGACTCATCTTAAGATTTTTAAAAAACAATACATTTGAAGATGCCCACATTTCTCAAATGTCAATATTTGAGTAAATTACTCATTTTGTAACTTGATCTCCCTCCGGGTTGTTCATCTTAGGTGAGCTTGGTCTTGGATGCCTCGAATGGGGGTCCAAGTGAGTCTAGGATTCTTCACGATAGAATTATCGAGTCAATCAATCTAGGGTAGTATTCAACATCAACCTAATCTATTTGAACTAGGGGATTCTTGCCTAAGTGAGCTCCCACCTTGTAGTTAATATATTATAGTAGTTGTAATTGTTAGGTTAGTTTGGATTCTTAAACTTCAACTATTGTTTGGCTAAATAACAAACCGAAACCGAAGTAACGTTACCAGGTTGATAATATTGCTTCCTCTATGCTACACTCGGTCGGAGGTTACAATTGGCCTTTGATTGGGATTCAACGAGTCAATCTTTAAAACATAAATAAATAAATAAAACTTTAAAAAGAAACACAAAGATGTGGAGTGACAAAGTCCAACCGAAATCTTCAGAGATATGTTTACTCTATCAAGCCCCCGAAGTGGAACCTCTGAGAGGTGAAACTTGGATCAGAATTGACGAAATGGTAGTAAAGTGAGTGGTTTGGTGAGTACATCCTCCAACTTATCAGTAGCTTGAAGATAGCGTACATGAAGTTGATTTTCTTATTGACACGATCACGAAATTCGAATTCAATCTCGAGATACTTGGAACAGTGTTGGAAGGTTAAAGATTGAATTTTGATGATTTAAGCTTGAAGTAATTGGGTTGGTGGTCTTGAGGCTTCTTCAATCTTTTCTTGGACTAGCACTGATTTGATAAATCATTCTTTGAGCTAATTTTCCTCAAGATAAGGAAAATATGCTACCAAATATGCTTGTATAGGCTCTTTAAACTTATTTGCTTGCAATCTTGTGGTTGGACCATTATATTAACTCCTACACTTTCGAAAAAATTCTTATATGATACAACCCAAACTTGTAACTATACCTAAATGTACAATTTCAAGTTGGTCGTCAGATTCAGCATGGCTATGCTGTACCTGATGTCCCAAAACTTGACAGTCGAGTCGTGCGAGCTCGTGACCACCTATGAATACATCGAACGGGCCAACACCGAGCACACTGTCTCTTCATGTAGGGCTTGGGAAAAGATTTGTTTCCTGGTTTGTACGTCCGACACGCGGCACACAGAGTCACGTCCGCCGGTGAGCAAGACGTCGATGGTCGGGTGAAGAGCCAAGCAATAGACGCCACTGAGGTGGCCGACGTAGGACCGAATGACCTTATTCTGTTCTAGGTCCCAACATTTGACTTGTTTGTCTTCCCCGCCAGAGAACATGTAGGTGTGGCTCCGGCTCACAGTCAAGCCTCGTACTTGACCTACGTATCCTGTCAACGTATGCTTATCCTCCCGCTCGCCACGTCCCATATCTTTATGACCCGGTCGGCCAAACCGTTGCAGAACCATGCCTTGCTGGGGTCGAAGGACACATGTGATTGAACCGACCCCAGGTGGGCGCTAATTACCCTATAGTTCTTCCACAGTGCGTGCCACGTGGGACTTCGCAGCCACAATGTGGTGCGAATTCGTTTGCTCTCGGGATCGAAAAGAGAGGCATGGAAGCCGTACGATGTCAGAGAGGACAGATCGAGTGCTCACTTCTAGGACTGCGCCTCAACTGTCTCCATGATGATTGAAGTGTTGTTGGCCTGGAGTAGATGCAGTATGTGGGTGTCGCGGAAATAATGGTGGTTATTTCGAGCTCCAACGGCATGTCGGTTGAATGAATTGATTGAAGGGGGGACAAACAAAAGTAAAGATCGGTCCGCCTGTTAGTTGTTATGTATGCAATTCTCATTTTCGAGTCCAAAGCGAATAGGATGCAACGTTTTTCTCTTCTGCGCGTGATCGGTTTTCCTATTCCAAGAATGTCTCGTTTCCTTTTCCTTATTCAACTTGATTCCATGTATACCCTCCTCGTTCATACAAAAACATGTAATGTTGCCCTATTCTGGTAGTATGTGCAACATATGACTAGCTGTCAAAAGTGGGATTTTACATAAAATAAAAAATGGGGGTAAAATCGGAATCATAAAATCGAATAGTAAAATCGTAGGATTAAGGTCCATATAAAAACGAATAAAAAATATTATTAATAAGAAAAATCATGAATAACACAAAATACGTAACACTTACAATGATAATTTCTCAAGGTTAATGTTCCAATTTATCAAAGTTAATGTTGGGAAATGGTGATTCGATGATGATTAATACGTTGACGTGAATTGATGATGGTCGATAGTGGTTAGTGTGACTCATAGATTTGAATTGTAAAATCTTAAGATTTTAAAATCTTAAGAGTACACTGTGTGAGAGAACTAGATGGTTTGGAGGAGAAGGAAAAGATGTGTAAATTTGCAAATTAAATGGAAAATAAGTTTAAGTGTTCATAAGTTAAGACTTATTAAGCATAAAACTGAAAATTGCAGGAGGGATTATTTGTTGGGATTCCATAGTTGTATCTGATTTAAAAGATCATTTAGCATTTAACCCCTTGACTTTTAGCTTCTGGGTTGTGGGTAGCCTTTATGAAAATAATTCAGAATGTTTGAACAATTGGAGATAAACTAGCTCTTTTCTTCAATTTAATATGTTTACATTTTAGCTTTGTTAACTAAGTTTTCAGAATGGCCATTTTAGTGCTGATAATTTTATGTTGCGTTGCTATTGCAATGGTTCAACAACTTCTCTTCAAATTACTATTGTTTTCTTAGCCTGCCTCCAACGAGATCCACATGCTAATTGGTTGATATTAGTACGAGTTCCGCTATCAATTTTTCTGGGCTACCTCCGGCCAAGGAGCCCGGTCATAAGGTAGTTTACTAGTCCTACCACTTATTTATAGAGGTTCTTCATCAAACCATACTCGATTCAAAATTTCTAGCCCTAAAGGAGAATTTAGGAAGGATATTTTTGTCATGATAATTAAAAAAAAACACTACGCGTAACCCATATAAATGAATATAAGTTAGCTATCGCATCAATAAATTGAACTCAAGTTTAATTAGCTCGAGTAATTTTATCATCAAGTAATTGTAGTTGAACTCAACTTCTTTCGTTATTAAATAACTCGACAAGATAAAGACACTATTATCACTCTTCATCCTCACAATGATTAATTATATCTTTTATCTAATAAATCATTTAAAAATAAAAATTGCAAGGATAAAAATTTATATTAATTTTGTAGGCATCTAATTAGAGGTGTCCGCTTAGCACATTATATCTCCTTAATTTTCGATACCCTAAAGTTACTAAATGATATGTATATTTTTCGTTTTAATATTTAAAATTAAAAGATTTTGGCATAGACAAATTATATTTAATGTGATTTCAACAATGACTTTCATGCAAATATGATTTAAATTAAAAAAATCCTTTAAAAACATGGTAACAACCACGTGTTAGGTTCCTTTAGTACAATGTATCTCTTTCGTTTCAATTTCAAAGTTACATATTTTCATAGAAAAATTATATTTAATTTGATTTACAAAAAATAAATGGTAAGTATTAGTAGTTATTAGTGGTTTTGCATTTTTGAATTATCTATGTCATGAGTCTTATTTCTAAGTTTCTTTTGTAGATTAGTATGCATACCATAATATTTGTACACTGCTCGCGAGCATTCCCGATTTTTGAGGTGGTAAATTTTCTCATATTCCTATGAGATTCTCACTACTGAAGGACCATCAACATGAAAACCAAAATTTTATTTGATCTAACAACAGGAGTTGGATCTCCAATCATGTTTCTAGAAAGTGACTCGCAATCGATTCCAAGACAAATAGTATTCTTCATCTTCATATGATAATTATGGATTAGGAATGGCAAACTAATACTTTCACAATGACCACATTAATTTGGACTCTACAATTCAAATTTGTAATTTTATAAATGTTGTTACTTTTTCTGAGGATAATGGTATTTGGGTGCAAATACTCAAAACACATGATTAAGGATTGACAATCTTTGTTTCAAGACAACATAGTGTATGTCTTTGAGAACTTCAAAGTGAGTCTACCAACAACATATTACATGCCAATTTCAAACAAATCGGTGATCACGATCCAATCAAATACTACACTCCAAGCTTGCTATGATATTCTGACAATTTAAGCTTATATATAAGCTTGATTTCATCAAATATGATAGAAATTTCAAATTTGGCTTTGAATGTAATTGAGAGAAGAAGAAAGAAACTATTAATTGTGGAAATATGTTTCATTAATAGAGATAAATGTGATGTTATTGGTTGAGATGATAATGTTGCTAATGGCGAGCAATCGAAAGAAGTTAAAAAGAATATTTGATTATGTTTTTGACATCAATGAGTAAATCAAAGTGTGGTTTGATTATGTTTTTTAGGAGTGAGTTCCATTTAATGGGTTTACTTCTTTACTTTAAATAAGAATTTAAATAAGAATTTTCGTTGATATAGGACAACATAAACTTTATGATATTATTTTTATTTTGTTATACGATCATTTTTATTTTTTATGGTACCAAATCTAAATTTAGATTGCTTTGTGTAATTCCTATTGTTATTTATGAAATACTGGGGCGAACTCAAATATAGTTTCTTCTCCCGATCGGATTTGAGTGTCGGTAACATTTTCCTTTTCGGATATGGTTAAGTTTGTAGTTATTATATATACTAGTATCCTGGCCCGCGCTCTGCCGCGAGATATTTGCTATATTTAAGTTTTTTTTTTTTTTGAGAAAACAAATGAACTAATTTTGTTGTAAACATATAAACAAACAGTATTGAGCTGTTGAATCAAATTTTGGGACATCTTTCATTAGATAGCAGCATTACACTCCATGGGTTAACATTATATCAAGGTTTTGCATAATAGGAAATAATACAGAACACCCATGAGTTTACATGTCCTCAATTAGGTGACTAACTAACATGCTAACATCAACACTAAGTGATCTTTTGGAAGTTCCGATTTACGATTGAACCATCGGGTGGCCACATTTGCTCTTCGTAATAGGCTGAAACAAAAATGGGAGAAATAGTTTACGTAAATGCCAAAACACACTCGTTGACCATGAAAAAAGAAGGAAACATCAACAAATCATCAAACATTACAGCAGAAGGTTCCCTCAGAGGCAAAATCCATCATCCAACAATAACTGCATATCTGGCAAGAGAATGAAACAGAGTCAGAAATATAATAAGGCATCAGATCTAAACCTTTGGGGTTCCCAAACCAAAACATGTACCCCACTGTAATGTCTCCATCTAGATACATCACATCATATCTAACTTGATGTCGAATATCACTACATCACAGAAACTGGGGGGAAAAAATCATTAATAAAAAATTTCATGGTGGGATGCTCAGGAATCCACCATTGTGGAGAAGGAATGAACGGGCCTCAAAACACTGACTTCCAAGGTTATGAAGACCGATCATAGACCAATTTTGTTACAAACCTCTGTCATTTTGCACAGCAAAGCACGAATACAATGATTAAGAGGAGACTATCAACACTAAGGTCTAAGGCATAAAAAAAGATGAGTATTAACATTCAGTTTCCTCTAGAATGGATTAGGCTAATAATCACTGCAAGCTTGCCCTAAATCATATATGATGTGATCCAATCAATTTCTACAATTTCCTAAGATCTGGGTTTAGTTTATAAAAGTACAAAACAATAAAATTATTAGGATTTGGAAACAAAACACATGCGGAATCTGTGTAAGTTTGGAAAAAGGCTTCAAAGATTTCTATTCCATGTAATCATGGATGATGGATGGCATCTTCAACACCCGTTTCTAGTAGAAGAATATATGATCAATTCAAGCGCAAAATATAAGAAAAATAAAGAGTAAATTAACTATGAACGTAGATATATTGGACCTACCCAAGCTGCTTTCACCACTGCGATAACGCCGACCAGCGAATCACGAATTGCAATCCAGGTAACCAACGGCCTTGGTGGTTTTCCCCTAAAAATTGAAGTTGTCTTTAATAGTAAACTCGTTGACGAAATTTTATTCAAAAGCGATGAAACAAACTTAAAATGAAGGAGAGACAGAGTGAACAAATCGACTGGATATAGAGAGGAGGAATCAACTGACAACAAACGCCAGCAAATCTGGGACTCATAATCCTTTCGAGACCACACAAAGCAGGCATTTACTTGTTCTGAGTTCCGCTGGTTTCTGAAAAAAAAAGATAAGGGAAAAGCGTCATAACCCGAAAATTAGTTCATCTAAGAATGAGAATATAGAAAAAAAACCTTCAAGAGCATAATCATGAAATGATAGAAACCGAGAACCATATCTCATATGAGCTGGGAAGGTGGTCGATATATCATTAATCTCCTCTAGAAAATCAATTTTCCGAGCATCTAGACTGCCAGGATCATTAAAGGTTACAAACCGTGAGGGTGAAGATGAACAGGGGAAGAAAAATCGAAGAAAGGTGTTGAGAGAGCATGCAACTAAAGATAGAAGACGATCGAGTCGAAGCAACCAAAACCATCATATTCTCACCTTAAACCATCAGGGTTAACAATCAACTTCCCATCGATCGATCTCTTCGCCCCTCTGTGTGTCCTCTCCAGCGGATCTACAATCCAAACCATAGATCTATAGATTGTTGGCTTCATCTAAGTACTGAGGAAAAAAAAAATCACCAAAATAGATAAAAACATACCTTACGAATCTGGGTCTCCTTGGATTCCTCGCTCGTCCTCTCATATTTTCCTTCTCCATTTGATTGCTCTAAGCCACTAATTTCCAGAGAGTAGATGTGAGAAACAAAGCAGAGAGAAGTTTGAGAAGGAGAGAGGAGAGTGGAGAGAGGAAAGTATTGGGCAACCTAAACAATGAGAGAACTAATGAACTCCTAACCTTTTCTTCTAATCCCTCTTTTCATCCAAAAATGGAAAAAAGAAAGAGAGCAGACAGGGTAGATCAAACGAATGGCCAAAATAAAGGGTACGTGGTTCTTCATCTGCCAAACAAACTTCCCGTCGCCTAAAGCACTGGGAAAATCTCTTCCCTTGCTTCTTCTCTCTGAGGAGCACAGCCTCCGGCGATCCATCGACGGTCTCAGCGATTCTGACGAACCTCCCCGCAATAGAGGGGTTGAGAGGAGAGAAGAGAAAGTGAGTGAGAGAGAGAGAGAGAACCGCAAGAGAGTTTCGCTCATATATTTGGGGCTTCTTCCAAAATCTGTAGAAAAAGAAAACAGAAAGAAAGAAGCGACGGTAGGTCCGTAGATGCAATGAGTGGACACAAAGAAATCGATATTTGTTCCTGCAGAGCTCAGTCACTTCAGTACTTTCCCCAAAACTCTCCAGCCTCTCTAAGCCTCTCTCTGCATCGAACAACGCGAGCCCATCCCTCTCAATATCTCTCTGTGTCCTGCAGAGCTCAGTCACTTCAGTACTTTCCCCAAAACCCTCCAGCCTCTCTAAGCCTCTCTCTGCATCGAACAACGCGAGCCCATCCCTCTCAATATCTCTCTGTGTATCTGAAGAATCCTTTTCTGTCTCTCGAACGACTCATCTCTCCACTAAGCAGAACACCCAGAGCAACTGATTAAGCCTCGACCGGCGCACCCGCTAGGGGCAAAGTCACATACCGATCTCTGATGACCAACGCGCGTCCGGGCCACCAAACGACCCCAACTAAGTCCAACCAGAAGCTAACGACCAGTCCTACCCCGACCGAGCCCCCAAACTCCGTCAGATCCCAATGAGGCCTCACCCAACAACAGCCCACACGCCAGCCCACGCCAGTTTGAAACAGTAAATCTCAGTCACAATGGACAGTAAAAGGTGTCTGTGTGTACAGTATCAGGGACTGCGGGGTTTCTTTCTTTCAATATATATGAATTAATCGGTAAGCCAGACAAACAATTGGAACCAAAAAATTTCAATTTCCTTTTCCGGTTTTCCCTTCCAAATCCGCAAGCGAAAGCAGAGTCTTCTGTCAATTGGTCTGAGCCATGGCGACGGAAAACTGCACCGCGGCTTCTGATCTGGCTCTCGGCGCACGGTTCCGCCCTGCTCGAATCTGCGGAAAACGACGCCTCCGTTCAGAAGTAAATCCTCCTACTCCAGCGATAAGCAAACTGGGAGACGATCTCCTCACAGAAATTCTGGTTCGCGGTTTCCCGGATCCTAGATCCGCCTGCCGGAGCAGAGCCGTATGCAAGCAATGGAGATCCCTGATTTCCGATCCCTGCTTCGGTCGCCGCTTCCTTTCTTACCACCAGAGCATGAACAAACACCCTCCTCCCAAGCTTCTTCACTCGACTGACACGAAATCGTTCTCACTGAGCTTTATCCCCTGGCCCACCGATTGCGCCTCCAATATACGGTCGGAGCTGGCACGGTTCGCAGTTTTTGATTGCTTCAAGGACCTGCTTTTATGTGGCTTTGGGGAACTAGGTTTATGTGGCTTTGGGGAACTAGGTTACCGCCATGCTAGTGCTGAACTTGGCAGAACGTACTTGCTGTGCAATCCGTTTACGAAGCAATGGATGGCACTTCCTTTGGCCCCTGATAGACCAGTGGGGCATACGGGATTGCGTGCAAGGCTAGTTTGTGAACCCTTAGATTCAAACAGTCTAATTTTTAATCTAGGAGGTGGTACTGAGTATCGATTCCGGGTGGTGTGTGTATACCAAGATGCGAATTCGATGAAAGTGAAAGTAGATGTGTTCTCTTCGGAGTCTGGAGAATGGACCAGGGAGGCGTTTGTTCTTGAAGGTTACTGCAGACCCAAACTAAACAATGTTGTTTCATGCGACGGGGTTTTGTATTTGTCGTATGTTAGAGCACAAGGCAACCATTTTGGGCTGTTTGAACCTTTGATTGCTGCTATTAATCCTTTCCGCCTTGATATACCTCCCACTCCTATTGATGTTTCCCCAGTCTCTGCTAATAATCCGTGGTGGGATATTTCAATTTCACAAGGTGCTGTGCACTTGATTGTGTTTGAGGAGGGCACTAGACTTGCTTCTTCGAGGATTGTTTTGAGTGTTTGGAGATTAAACGAAGACTGTAAATTCTGGAGGAAGGTATGCGCAGGTCTGGTCAAGTCATCCTCAGACGGTAATTATCAACCCGTGTCCCTTGGTGTTCCTATGCTACATCCAGAAAAACCGGAAACTGTCTTCTTCACTCTTAGGCATAGGCATTCTTACTTGTCCTGTGATTTGAGCAGGGGAGGGCAGCTAGAGTTCTTCGCTAAACTAGCTCAACATTGTAGTGGTTGGAGGGTGTTCCAGCCTAAGGTCTCTTGCTGGCCTACTCCAATTCCAAAGTACCAGAAGTTGCGAGTTAGGTACGATGGAATCTTCGACTGTTGGGATCAGTTTGATGAACCTGAACCAATAACTCCCTCAATAACTGTTACTTATACTTCCGAGAATATACCTTTTGAACAAATAGAAGAATGACCACCCTTTGACGGAGTTGAACAATCTTGTCATTCGAAGAAGCTGAAACGAGGGTGAAAGGCTCGCCTCGTCGTCAAGGAAAGGAAGGATGCCGGATTTGGAAGGAAATTCCGATCTACAATAGAAGGGTGCAGGAGTTGATCTACTGGGGCAGTATTGGTAACTGTTGTTTATGCACTCCGAGCATATTTGAATTAGTTGGATTGGTAGTTCTCGTGGAAGGCTCATTTCATGTTGCATTTTCGATTGTAGAAAGTGTGTGATTGTGTTAAGCCTATGAATTTGTTTCTTGAAGGGTGAAGGTTTAGAATATATGAGCCCGGTGATTGTGTTAAGCCTATGAACTTGTTTCTTGAATATATGATTTTAGGAGTTAATTGTTATAAATGAATCGTCGCTTTTAATACTCGCAATGATGCTTATCACGCTATGTTCCTTATTAGTTAAGGGGAATTTTGGGTTAAATGAAAAGGATCGAATGAGATAAATGATATACTATGAGCGAAGGATTTCACAACCCCTTATTTTGGGGAAGGCTTTTCAAATCCGTCGAAGTAGTAACTTAGAAATTCATGAAACATGTTGTATGAGTTTAAGGTACCTATTTACTCCAGCAAACAAAGGTTTTTAGCTGGACACTCTTTTTCAGAATTTTATGCTTAAATCTGTCATCTGCCATTGATATTCAACAGCGGAACCCCAGGAAAGAGAGGGGGGGAGGGGCACAAGAGCTTGAAACTCAGAAGAAAAGGGGCTCTTCACTGTGATGAGTCGATGATGTTGTTCATCACTTGCAAACTTTATTCACTTCTGAATGCTTGCATGCTCAAGAGTCAAGAGTTTGTGCAGCAGTTAGCCTTACCTCAGCTTGTTGCAGTGTTAGGTGTATTCTCTGCTATATATACCATCTTTGTATGTGCTGTTCTTGTGAAGTATTGTATTTTTGAATTCATCGTCATGTATTGATGCAAGCATGTATCTGATGATCAGGGGTGTGCTGATTTTGAGTTTCTAATTGGTGGCTCCGACTTTTAGCTGTGAAGTTATTGCTTTGGTTAAGAGTTATCCTTGTTGTTCTCTGGTTCTGCTTTATACTTCACTGTTTTCTGTAGCTAGTAACCATGCGTAGAACTTAGTTGGCTTGATGGTAGCTATAGTCTCTTCTTGGTGTTGCAGCTGCTACGAACAAAGTTGCGCCTATGGTGATATCATAACCGGAAAGCTTGATGTTGTTTTGGAGTGTGTTTATATTCTCGCCGCTGTCGTTTGAGAATTTGTGTTTATATGTTCTCAGTTATCCTGTTTTCCTCAATGCACTGTGCCAAAAGCTAGTTTATTCATGAAGAAATATTGTTTCGGCTGTTATTTGTGAATGGCGTTAAAGGTGTCTTAAGAGCAAGCCTTTTATGAATAAGCACTGCATCCTGGGTTTGTTTATCTTTTTCCTTGTTGCATTTTTCATGTGTTGAGGATCAATGTGATCTGATACTACCCTTTGACAATGAGTTACAGGCGTGCCTTAACTTACATTTATATTGTCAAAAACTGTGCAGGTTTACCCAAATGGCTCTGATTATATCCTGACTTTCAAGCTGGTGGTTGGGGGACAGAGTTGGTGCTTTACTGTAAATCCAAACTTTTGTACTTCAGGGTTTTAATTGGTAGATCTAGTAGCTAGACATGGAAAGCAAGTTCGGAAGAAAGAAGCACGGTTATGCTTGGCTTCAAGAGAAAGAAACTACTGAGCATTCAGAATCATACCGAGCATAACCGCGCTTCTTTTTTCCGAACTTGCTTTCCAAGTTCGGAAAAAAGAAGCACGGTTATGCATTAGTGGCTTGGTATGATTCTGAATGAAACTTTAGCTGAGCAGATGGCAATGATGTGTTCTCTTCTGTGGTTCTTTTGGAAGGAAAGAAACAATTTCTTGTTCAATAATAGATTTTTGCAGGAATGGGAAGTGTTTCCAAAGGCAGACAGGTTCATTCGAGACTTTATGGAAGTGAAAGGCAAGGATCTGTTAACAAGGAAGGGAGAAGGAATTGTAAATGGAGAAAACCTCCAATTGGAGTTTTTAAACTCAACGCAGATGCAGGTGTGAGTGCAAGGGTAAGCGCAGCCTTGGTTTGTGTTGTCAGGAATTGGTTGTCTTTGCTGCAACCTGTATTGATTCTGAAAGATGGACTCCTGATTTTGCAGAAGGGAAAGCTATTCTCTATGGCCTCACTAAAGTGACTGAGAAAGGAATTGCTCACGAGTTTCAAGCAAACCTCAGAAAGGACACTCGGGCCCAGCCTTCCTCGATTTGTTGACCAACCTACTCCCTGTAGGTATAGCGCTCATACTCATTCTGCATAGGAATATCTTCACTTTCTGTTGCATTTTGGTCTTCCATAGTTTAGACCAGAACTGTCTTAGAGCTTCAGTAAAGTTAGTGTCTCTGTTCTTAATTGGGTGATACACCTCTCTGTATCTCTTATACCCTGACTTGACAGTATACTCCCCGGTTGCATTATAAATCCATACTCTTTTGTTCTGCATGGTTGAGCTTAGGATAGGGATGCTTGATATTTGGTCACAATCCTCCTCTGTAAACAGGGTACTTAATAAACCCCTTTCCCGCGTGTTTGTCTCCCAGCTTATGAGTGAAGACACTTTATATTCTGGTCCACTACTCACAGGACATTGGTCTGGATAATAACCAGGTTTTCCTGGAATCCACCTATCATGCCAGACTCTAATTTGATCCCCGTTTCCTACCCCTCCATCTCAGTCCTTCCTCCAATAGTTCCTTAGCTCCCAGCAAACTTCTCCACACATAACTCGCGTTATATCCAATTTTAGCATGCATAATATCAGTAGAGGGATGATATATTGCTTTAAGAACTCTAGCCACAAGCGCTTCTCATTTATTCATCAGATTCCACACTTGTTTTGCCAGCATTGCCATATCGAAACCTTTTAAGTCCCTAAACCCAAGCCCTCCTTCACTCTTAGTGTCACATAGTCGATTCCAACTAACCCAGTGAATCCTTGATTCTTCACCTTTTTGTCCCCACCAGAAGCTAGACATGAGGCCTTCAATTTCATCCAAAATGCCATCCGGGATTCTGAATACCATCATAGGGTAGAGAAGTTGTGCCTGTGGAACTGCTTTTATAAGAACCTCCTTCCCAACCTGCGACATAGTTCTTGACTTCCAGACTTTAAGTTTACATCTAACTCTCTCCTTAAAACCTGCAAAAATAATCTTCTTTGATCTCCCAACCAATGTAGGCAACCAAGGTACTTCTCATGCTTGCCCACTTCTCTAATCGAGAGAATCTGTGATATCTCTTGTCTCCTTGCAAACTGAACTTTCCTGCTAAAAGTCAGTTCTGATTTAGCATAGTTAATTTGCTGTCCTGATGCTATCTCCTACGCCTTAAGAGTTCTCTTCAGCCACTCAACTTCTTTCTTCGTAGATGCTATCATCAGAAACAGCAAGTGAGAGACTTGTGGTGCCCTTCTGCAAACTTCTACCCCATGTATATCACCCCTAGCTTCTCCCGTTTTATAAGTGCTGAAAACCCTTCAGTACATAAGAGAAACAGGTAGGGAGAAAGCAGGTCTCCTTGCCTCAGTCCTCTTGTAGGATAGAAGTCGGGGGATCTATGTCCATTCACCAACACCGAATATGATACAGTCCTTATACACATCATCATTAGCTTAATCCAGCGTTCATGAAATCCCAACTTTCTCATTACTTGCTCAATGAAATCCCATTCCACCCTTATCATATGCTTTAGCCATATCTAATTTTGCTGCAAAATGCCCTTTCTTTATGCTTGCACTCTTTTCATTTAATTAAACCACTCAAGCGCCGTAATTATATTGTTCGTTATGGCTCTTCTTGGAACAAATGCTCCTGCTCCTCAGCTATGATAGCAGGCAGGATTTTCTTGAGTCTATTAGCCAGAACTTTAGATACCAGTTTGTATAACACTCTACACAGACTGATTGGCCTAAAGTCCTTGGCCTCCTTGGGAACTTTAACCTTCGGGACTAGAGCTATGAGAGTATGATTCATCTCCTCTGGCATTCAACCTGTTTCCAGAATATTAAGCACCAATTCTATAACTTTAGGTCTTAGAGTTTCCCAATTATGTTGATAGAAACCTGTTGGAAATCCATCAGACCCTGGAGCTTTCGCGGGATGCATTTGATTGAGAGCTAAGTCCCGTCTCAGCTCTAAACTCATGCAGTAGCTGTTTATTCATGTCCTCGGTGACCTTTTTCTATATTGCTTCAATAACGACATTGGAGCTACCTTTTATCCCTGCTTGAATTAGATTCTGAAAATATTTTTTTACGCATACTGTAACTTCTTCTTGTCCTTTATACAACCTTCCATCTGCATCAAACAACTTCTTAATCATGTCCTTTTATGCCGTGCAGAAACTTTGGCATGAAAGAACTTTGTGTTTTTGTCACCGCCTTTCATCCAGTCCACTCTCGACCTTTGCTTCCACTTGCTATGCTCTTTCCGCAGCAGGTCTGTCTTCTCCGCTACTAAAGCTTCTTTTTTTTTTCCTGCTAATAACTGCTCTGTCTGTTTTATGCCCTCTTCTTAATTTATTGAGGGTCTTTGTCAATATTTTGCAGTCTTTCCTTGATTTTACCGAACTTCTTCCTGCTCCATTTCGTCAAAGCTTGCTCACACCTCCCTAATATATCCAATATATTGCCTGCTCCTCCCTCATCCAGTAAGTACATTATTTATCACTTGCTTACTTTCACAATCTCTTAACCAGAAATTCTCTACTCTAGAATGCCAACCACACCTTATTCCTTCATCTTCATTTCCTTCTGTGTCGAGCATTATCGCGGATAATGGTTCGACTCGATAATGGTTTCCTCAATGTATCGCCGTTCTACTCTAAGTGTAAGGTTATCCATCAAACCCACAGTCTAGCAGGCCACAGTGATCCAGAGTTTCCCTGAATTGTCTTGCCAATTCTTCGTCAATCATTCTATTCTGCCCCCTCTTTTGTCGCTGCTCGACAAAATATGGTTGTTTTCATTTTTTAAACTGCCCAGCAATTCCCAGCTCTCTTTTAAATCCAAGTTCCCCTCGAACCCCATCTCTTTCTTCATCATTTAACTTTTGTCTCCGTGAGAAAAACAATTTGTGGTGATTTTCTTCTAATTAATTCCATCGGGTTTGCAATAGCTTTAGGATCCCGAAGCCCTCTTACTTTGTAACTTATGATTTTATTAATCTTTAATGGAAAACTTGTACAGATCACAAGGGGAGAAGACTGATAAAACCTAGAAGCTTCCACCAAATGGGGTGACAACTACCCAGAAACCTTCCCAACAGCATCTCTCCAATGCCTTCGACAAAACCAGCAATAGAGATGATTCGTTGGGATTGGATCAGCAAGAAAACACCAGATGGAGAGGAGGTTTCTCACAAAGGGACCTTCTTCCCAGACAAGCAAGCAAGTCGGTGAAACAGTGGCTCAGAACGCAACTCCAACCGCCAGAGAAAGTCGGCAGCCTTCAAAGTCTGTGGAAACCTCTCATACAGAGAAGAGAATGCGCTGTGGCTCTCAACCGAGGTCCGAGAGTGCTCCAGCACTTCCAGATCGGAAGCAAACTCCAGAAAACCTTCTCACCGAGGAGTGAAAATTCTAGAGAAGCTGTAGCTCCCACGCAGAGAAAAAAACAAGAGATTGTTGTAGCTTTAAACCTGAGGACTCTAGTATAGTACATAAATAGGGATGACAACTAACCCGAACCCACGGGTACCCTACACGACCCAACCCAGTTAACGCGGGTAAAATCCGTGTTGACGGATTTTGGGCCGGGTTCGGGTTTAAACCCGCTACACCATCATCGGGTTGGGTTGGATTTGGATTTAGGCAAACCCGTTCTATGGGTACCCGCCCACACTCATATAATTAATTTTTTCAGTATATTTAATACTCTAAACAATATAGGGTAAATTGCAAGGTTGGTCACTGGGATTATTAAAAATGTTCAAGTTTGGTCATTAAAAATATTTAATTTCATTCATTGTTACTAGATTTAGTAAAACATGTCATGTTTGGTCACTCTCCGTCCAACTCCGTTAATTCTGTTTGATGTGGCAGCCAACTCTAAGAGTTGACCGTTAAATGTATGACGTGGCAATTAAAAAAAATTTAAAATTTCCACATCATTATTAATATTTAGAATAAAAAATAAAAACTTAATTCATTTCCTAAACCTCACCAACTCTCAGACCCGAAATTCTAGCCCTCACAAATCCTAAATCCTGGACCGCAACAAAGGGGAAGAGATGGCGAACATCGGGAGACAGAGGGTTGGTTGCGCCGGAGCAGCGGTGACAACGATTGAAGTAGTGAGGGATGAAGAGGCGATTTGTTGCGCCATAGCAACTACTACAATTTGTATCCTCCCCAAGTCAATATCTGCTAATCCAAATACCTCTATGAATTGAAAGAAACCCAGTGCCCAGGGAACTAGAAGATTCAGATTAAAAATGGGGTTCTGGAATAAGGAGCCCATTTCGTTGAAAAGCTTCACAGGCGAATCATGAAAAGAAAAGGCTTCATGAAAATAGGAACATGCAAAAGCAAGATTAACCTTAAATCTAACCAATCAACCGGCCAAAACGGGAAAGTAGCGAAGCTCTCGTGTATGACGGTGACTGGCGGTGGATGAGAAACGGTGGCCTTGGTATGCGACTGGCCCCTGTTCCACTTGTCAATTTCAAGCGCACCTGTTCCCTAGCCAAAGTCGTCAAGCATCCACCCGTTCCACTTGTCAATTTCAAGCGAAAGGAATTCCTGAAGCCTCTGTTCGTGGTACAGGGAGTTTGATGTATTTACAGTACAAGGTCGGTGGATTCTAGGGGGAAGAGGGCACCGAGACTATTCTGGGTGTTGGCTCACCTATACGAAGGGCTGATGGGGAGGAGAAGGAGGACTCTCACCAGTCAGTCACCATTGTGTTTGTGTGGTCGGGCTTCACGCCGATCACGCTCTCTCTTCTGCGGATTGCAATTAGCCCGCCCACCGTCGTCTACACTCCGACCCATCGCGGTGGCTCGGGTAGTGGGCTTGTCGGCTTCCAGTTGAGAGCTCCACCTCACCTGTTCTTCCCTCGCTACAGTACACTGCTCCTGCGCAACCAACCCTCCATATCCCACTGCTCGCCATTCCTTCCCCTTCGTCGCGGCCCAGGATTTGGGATTTGTGAGAGCTAGAAATCTCGGGTATGAGAAAAAGGGGTGAGGTTTAGAGAATTAAAATGTATAATTTTTAATTTTAATTTTATTTATAAAAATGATGTGGAAATTTAAATTTTTTTTTATTTTTTAATTGCCACGTCATACATTTAACGGTCAACTCTTAGAGTTAATGCCACATCAGACAGAATTAACGGAGTTGGACGGAGAGTGACCAAACATGACATGTTTTACTAAATCTAGTGACCATGAATGGAATTAAACATTTTTATTGACCAAACTTGAACGTTTTTAGTAATCCCAATGACCAACCTTGCAATTTACCCAAACAATATATCTTCCTTAAACAACTAATCTTTTTTATGTTTGTGGAGTCATGTCTAATTTGATCTTTCTAATTGTGTACGATGAAGTTGATATTATTGAGTGGAGATGAAGTTGATATTGTGGAGTGGAGAGTGAAGATACTTAGTTGACAAGGAGGAAGGAGCTGTCAATTAATCATGTTGTTTATATATGTTTATCTTTCCAAGACTTGGAATCAAAGAGACTTGGTGTGGTAGAAAGGTCTCTAACAAAATCAGTTGAGCCGAGATGATAACCCGACTTAACATAATATTCGCCGGAATTTTCATAATGCCAAACAATACGATCAGTCATGGGAAAAGTAGGTGAAGGGATGTTACAGATTACCTTTACCGTTTCCAGATCAAATAAGAAGTACAGAAGTGGCAGCCTCCATGCACCCACTGAATGGTCAATCAAAGAAGAAACTTGAGACGTATGAAGACAAACTTGCGGAAGCAACCGAGGACGAAAGGGTGGAGTTTTTGGAAGCCAGACATCCTCTGTCGTGTGGACCAAGGTACCAGACCCTATTTTCCACCCAATGCCTTGCAACAATAGATCAAGACCTTCCAAAATACCGTGTCAATCCCAAGAAGTCCTAGACCCTAAAACCGCCTGCAAAAATAAAGTCTGGAAAAAATATTTGGCCTTATACATGACTGTAAGCATGTTATCCGGGTTTTGTAAGATTCTCCAAGCCTGCTTTGCAAGAAGTGCAATATTATTGTTGTTGAAGTCAAGAAAACCGAGTCCACCTAGAATCTTGTGACGACATATAGCACGCCATGATGTCCACTTCATACTCTCCCTCTGATCTTGTTGACCCCACCAGAACCTAGCCAAGTGATCATTAAGCCTACGACAAAAGGTAACAATCATTCTGAAGCTAAGCATAGCATAAGCAGGAGGAGCAGTAGCAACAGACTTAAGTAACGTTTCTTTGGCAGCCTAAGAAAGGGCCTTGGATTTCCATTGTTGAAGGTGAGCAACCAAATTATCCTCAATGTACTGGAATGTTTCCAATTTAGATATGGAAATTCTTGTTGGTAAACCTATAGAGCGATATGTTGAACCATTGGGAGCAACACTCAACAATGAAATGATAGAATTGGCCTCCTCTCTAATACATTAGCATTGAATGAAGCAGTAGATTTTAGAAGATTCACTTTTTGATCACTGAACTGTTGATAGGAAGCAAGAAGAGTAAGTAAATTATTGCATTCGGAGATGGTAGCATGAAGAAAAAGATACGAATCATCTGCAAAAAATAAATGTGACAACTGTGAGCAGCGATGATGAATTTTCAACCCATGGAGAAAATTAGCTTCAACAACTTGGTTAATCAATGTAGAGAAACCTTAAGCATAAAGAGCAAAAAGTGAAGGGGAAAGGGCATCTCCCTGTCTTAAACCACATCCAGGATGAAAGAAACCATGAGGGGCTCCATTTAGCAAAACTGAGAAGGAGACTGTAGTGACACAAGCCTTCAACCAGCTCAACCATTGGTCACAGAAACCCATATTACACATAATAGCGAAAAGAAACTCTCATCTACCCTATCATAAGCTTCCTCCATATCTAACTTCAAGGCCATCCATTTATCTCGGCATTGGGACTTTGTTTTCAAAAAATGCATGACTTTCTGCCCGACCAAAATATTATCTTATGTCAACTACCCTTTATAAAACCATTTTGGAAAGGCCCTACTACCTTTAGGTAAAACTTTCCTCAGTCTAGCAGTCAAAATCTTCGATATGACTTTGTAAGGAACTTTGCATAACCAATTGAGCGCATCTGACGCATTGTCTCTACATTAGGTACTTTTGGTAATAAGGTTATCCAAGTATGATTAAAATTAGGAAGCAAGTGAATCGATTGAAAAAATTCCAGAACTGGCGCCACAACAGAATCACCTACCAAACCCCAAAAAGATTGAAAAAACATACATATAAAGCCATCCGAACCTGGAGCTTGGTATTCACCAATTGAAAACACAGCCGCCCTTACCTCTTCTCTGGTAAATGGGGTTACCAATGTAGCATTTAGGGCAGGAGTAACCAGCTGCGGCAATCGTAAGCATTCCACAAAAGACGCTATGTGTGAACATTCAAATCTAAACAAGTATTGGAAATAGCTAACAACTACATAACCTTTAGCAGCCTCTTCCGTATGTACGTCACTCTCATCTCACTAGACTAAAATATGATTCTTGCGTCTTCTGCCTAAAGTCGTGAGATGAAAGAATTGAGTATTCGAGTCTCCTTCCATGAGGTAATGAACCCGCGACTTCTGTTGCCAATATATTTCCTCCTGTAAGCCTCCCGGAGGGTATTGCATCAAGGTTGACAATCCAACGACAATCGAAATAAAAGTTGGCCTTAGTCCTTGCCGTTGCCGGATGTATTTGGAGACAAAGCATTCGATGGTCAAAGCCTAAATCAGAAAGATGAAGAACTTTCATACCCACCCAGGAGGAGAGAGCCAATGAGGTAGCCAAACATCGATTGAGTCTCTCCATAATGTGATCAGTGGATGAGCGTCTATTCGACCAAGTAAAAGGAATCCCTTGAAATCCAAGATCCTGCAAATTATATGACGATCAAGAAAATTTTGCAACATTGACAAAGCGTGAGGAGTTGGGGGTCGGCCACCAACCTTCTCAATAGCATAGAAGAGGCAATTAAAGTCACCAAAAATGAAATATGACAAGGCAATAGAAAAAAGACCAACGGAAATTTCATTTAATTGAGCCAAACGCTGATCTTCATTACAAGCAAGATGAACAAAGACAAAGAGTATAGCTCCATAAACCTTATGAACACTATTCACAAATAGAAAAGATTCAGACTGACGCTAAACAGTACAGACTACTTCAGAGGTCCAAGCCACTGCCATACCACTGCAGTATTAACCGGACTAACTATAATAGAGTCCTGAAATCCTAAACGACGCAAACGATTCTTAACCTTCGTATCCCGACACTTGTTTGCTTGGTGGATTTGGTGATGGATTTGGTGAGGATTTTGGATCCATCATGGACTTTGTCCGAAATCCATTGTTTGCTTCATGCAATAGGAGGCAACAAATCCGTGGGTCCCACGAACTTTAAGGGTCCAAATCCGTGGACCCCACGGACTTGAAAGTTTCAAATATTTAGGTGGGAATTGATCATGGACTTTGAAGTCCATCATTTAAGACCAAACTACCCCTTCTATTTCATTTCTCTTCTCATATCAATAAAGGTAAATTTCACTTTATACATACAAATCTAATTAACCAATTCCATCATGAAATCTATAATTGTCAAAACATAACCCGACCTAAGTAACCCGCCCGTTTTACCCAACCTGGAACCCGACCGCAACCCAAGTTGACTAAAAGTCAATGACCCGTAACCTGATCAACCCGCAACCCGATTAAACCCGAATCTGCTGATCTGCAACCCGATTAAACCCGAACCCAACTAACCCGCAACCCGATTGACTCAAACCCGACTAACCCGAAACCATCCTTTTGACCCGAATAATTACAATATTATATAATATATAGGGGTTGTTTGGATGGGTTAATTTTCAATTTGGTATATGTAAGGTGAAATAACTCACTTTTTGTACATGTGGTATTTGTATGTTATTTGGAGAAATTGGGAGTTAAATTATCTTGTTTGGATGAAAAAATCAATTAATTATTTTGATATGGTATTTGGTAACATAAAAAAGCAAATACCATAATAATCTTCATTAACAATCTACTACTCTCCTTCCATTCCCTTCCCTCTACATTCATAAAATCATTCAACAGCATTGGAATTCATCATTTCCGACAATGGTAACATCATTTAGAAAATAATAGGTAAATCTAAAATTAATGGACTCATACTTGATCAAATACAAAAGCAAAAAAAAAAAAAAGAGTAGGGAAACTCTTCTTGTAACATTACAACAACAGACATCACTATTTTCCAATTCTTCAAGCAAATGAAGAGACCTTTTATGATTTATCTACTCAGAGGGCTCAGGTGGCTATGTTTATGATTTATCTACTCAAAGTCTCACCCTTGAGCAACCACATGAGCAGCTTCCTCCTCGAATTACAATGGGATTTGGGAAGGCTTCAAAAGATCTGTTGGCTTGCCTACCCGACACAAAATTCTAACATAAAACTACTCGAGACTAGTTAACATCATCATAGGTGAACATCATTAAGTTGGCTAAAAATTCTGAAAGATGTTTTAGTTAGTGTAAAAAAAATGTGTATGTTGTATTAACGAGCCAGAAGTAACTAATTTGATGCGCTGAACCGAACAAATCGCAACCCGAGTATAGGGTATAGGTTATCGAGTAGAGTTATGATTGAAGTCACAACAATTCTAGTAAACTTTATAAGTAATCTTTGATGGTTCGTTGTTTACGGTATAAAGTATATGGTTAGGATATATGGTATAAGGTACAAATTGTTGTATATGTTTAGGGTATAAGGTATTGATGGTTTTGACGGTTCTAAGTTTTTTATTAACATATGTTCACTTGAAGTCATTTGAAGTCTTAACGGCAAGAGATCCCGTTTTAATTTATGTTTATGGTATGTGGTTAGGGTATAGGGTATATGGTGTAGAGTATATGATATATGGTTAGGGCATAGCAAATATCACTTTGTTATCTATGTTTTGAAAATCAAAGTCTAAATTTCACTTTAAATTAACCATAGTAGCAAAATCAGAACTCATAAGGATATATGGTTAGGGTATAAGGTATGTGGTTAGTGTATAATGTATTGATGGTTTAGGGTATACGATTAACAACATATACTAACTTAATATTGTTGATTGATGGTAAGGTTAAGTGTATAGGATATGTGTTATTGAGTAAGTTATGATTGAAGTCACAACAATTTGACTAAAATTGATAGTCAATCTTTAATGGTTCAATATTTAGGGTAATTCAAACAATTTTACAAATAACTCGTGTGACAACATTTTACTGAAGTTATTTGGGCAATGTGTTATTTCGAAATAACTCTTTTTACCACTGTGCTTGAGCCAAATACCACGTGCCATTGCCAAATATTATATTTGCATGGTTCTACTAAATGAGGTACTTTAATCTAATTACTAATAAAATAATATTAAAATATCAAATAAACAATTAATGGTGTTTTTTGGTTACAAATGTTGATATCACCATTGCTATTAGCTAGTGTACTTTACCAATTACGATTAATTACATAACAAGTTTGCATGTCATACAAATTGATTCAACATTTTGGCTAAACTTTTTAATTAAATATGTATACGCCGTAGAAAGAAATTGGTTAAAAATAGAGAAAAATATTTTAAATTAGTGTAATAAAATGTATAAGTTGGTAGCGATTAAGGAGTAAGTTACTTGAAGCGCTTACCCAAACAACCCGCAACCCGCTCGACCCACAACCCGCTCGGCCCGCAACCCGATGAAACCGCAACCCGATTGAACCCAAACCCGATTCACCCGCAGCCCGTTTGAACCCGAACCCGATGTACCCGAACCGGGTGAACCCGCGACCTGATAAATCCAAAACCCGACTAACCCGCAACCTAATTGAACCCGACCCGAACTCGCCCGAACCCGCCCAATTGACACCTTGAAATCTATGAAACAAACAATGGTATTTTTCAAGTCCATATGAACTCAAACCCTCATATATCTATGATTTTGCAAAACCCAAATTTCAAGTCCAATTTGCTCTCTGAGGCTTGTGCCATGAAAGCCTCCATGGTCAATTCCAACTTGGATTTCTCCTCGGGTTGTGGAGGGAAATTTTCTTGATATGGGGAAGCCTCTTCGTACCCCCATTGGTATGGTTGTTCTTCTTGGAAGGGGGGTTGGTAATAGAACCCGAATCCTTGGCTTCCCCCTTCTTGTTCACTCCATGAAGCTCCGGGGTACCCCCATTTGGGTGGTTGTGGATACCCCCACATATTGTAGAAGCCGTTGGGATCCATGGTTCATATCCTAAACAAACAAAAACACAAAAAGAAAATCAAACAAACACAAACCATCCTTCAAGACATAACACCAAACACTAAACACAAACAAAAAGACAAGATAGAAAATGCTAGAGTAACACTAAGCGACCTGTTCAAAATAATGGACCGCGGTTCCCCGGCAACGACGTCAAAAACTTGACTCGTTCCGAATACCACAATGATTTTCCGTCTAAGGCCCAAGTATAAACCTTAGTTGGGTGTAGTATAGGAAAAGTATGTTTAAATATCAACCCGGGCCAGTCCGTATACCCCTACTTCAATCGTTGGACTCATTATCTAGCAATCAAAGGTTTGGTTTAAAAGTTTGCAAAGTAAAATAAACTAAGGCAGAGGTGATTGGTTTTGAAAAACTCTTTGTGGGAAGATCAATCGGTGTTGCTTCCCCCTAACTCCTACCATGGTACGTGAACCGGGATGATAGCTTTGGGCGAGGCAAACACTAACCACTAAGGGACGCGAATGTAATCATAGACCACTCTCAAGATTTCTAAACCAAGGCATGCATTATAGGCTGTCACTATGCCCTCTCGGTTTAGCCACTCTTAGGTCGACTTACTTCCTCTCTTCAACCCAAGGGTTGGATGGTTAATTGTGCTTTACCAAATTGTTTAATTCAATATTAAGGTTTGCCCTCAATTAACCTAGTTAGAAGTCTTAGAAAGCCCTAGGGGACACCAACTCAATTGAGACTCCCTTAGAAGGGGAGGTTTCCCTCTCTAAATTACGTTAAATGGCTAATTGGATTGCTAAGCATAGACATGCGCACACCTTAGGTTGCTAAGCACTAAACATGCACAAGCCTAAGGATGCTAAGCATAAACATGCAGAATCAAGTGAAAAATACCAACCATTTGAATTAAACAATATCCAATGGCAATCATTCAGATACACATACAGAAAACTACATAGTAGAGTTAGGGTTTCACAACACCCAAGTGAAAGGGAAAACTACTCCATACTAGAAGTGAGGAAAATACAAGGAGAAAATAAGAAAACCATCTTGAAGGATGCTCCCACTCTTCTTAATCCTTGTGTTGGAATTTCCTTGAAGGAATTCTCCTCAAAATCCACCTTGGAGCAAACCCTAGCTTTCTTCTTCTCTTGGTTCGTGTTTCTCTCTCTAGACTGCAGAAGAAAATTTCTCTCACAAAGTGGCTCTCACTTCTCTCCTCCTTCCAGCTCACATTTTATACTAGGGACGATCATAGTTCACGGCCTGAGTTCATGGCCGTGAATCATCAAACGCGTCCGTGAACTCCAGTCGTGCGCCAAAACGTCACACTTCGATCACGCCCGTTCACGGTCGACGGCCTTCGTTCACGGTCTTAGTGACCGTGAACACACCTTGCGTCAGTAACTTCTCAAAATGTTCTGGACGCCTTGCGATTCACGGTCAGCAGCTCCTCTTCACGGCCAAGCAAGTCCGTGAACTTCCCGTCTAGGCCGTGAACTGCCTTCTTCACCTCTTCTCCCCGTTTTTTATCCTTTGTTTCACCTGTTAATTCCCGAAACACGCTAAAACACAAGAAACCTAGCGTAAAACCAACCTTTTAGGAGCGATTTTGCTACAAACATCTAAGTAAAACGGGGTAAAACATGTACAATTAGGCCCGAATCACCTTCTCCCAACCACTCTTCTTCAATAGCTTAGTTTGGCTCTGGTGTAGCTTTTGCAGAAGCAGCTTCTGGCTGGAGCTTTTATATAAGTACTTTTCAAAAAAAGCAATTTAGTGTTTGATAACGATGTAATTGCACATATTTGCGCCCCTAGTTCTTATCCATTTGAGGGGCATAGTCGTGTATTTTTGGCCTATTTTACGTTGGGTTGTGCTATTTTGTCATATTTCAGGTCCCAGGCGTCAAAGGAAAGGCTAAGCACGAGTTTCGGGGCATTCGGAAGTCATTTCATTGAGCTGGAGCCAAAACACGGGCACACCTAAAGCATTACACGGCCGTGTTCTGTGGCCGTGCTTTTACTGCCGAGAGCTAATTCGAGTTTGGCAAACATGAGCTTATTACACGGGCTGAAAGCACGGCCGTGTCCACCCAAAGCACGGCCGTGTTCTCCCAAAATCACGGTCGTGTTTGCACCAACACAATGGCCGTGTAATTAACCCTAGCCAAAGCACGGGCGGGCTGAGGCAAAGCACGGCCGTGCCCTCGACCGTGCTTTGGCCACTGATGCCCTTTTAAGCAGATTTCAGCCAAAACAGAAGGGGATTCGAGTTTTAGAGAGACAGAGCGATTCCTAGAGAGAGAAAGCGACGGACAAGAGTCTCCAAGTGCCCTAGCTTGATCTTCAACACCATTGGAGGCCAGTTTGAGCTTGGAGAAGTGCCGATCAACGTCCAGGAGCAGGAATCCATCCTTCACAGTATGAATTCCGCGTCTGATTCTGCTTTTGCTTCTTTCTCCATGGAGTAGTTCTCCCATTCATCTGGGTATGGAGAACCCTAAATTTGTATGTTAGGCTTTGATTGTATGAACCCAAGCACTGATTCTATGATTTGATTATATTCGATTGAGGTTTGAATGATTGAATGACTTGAATCCTGATCAAATTCCTGTTGTTTCTGCTTTAACCTAGAATGAGAATATCTGCCTAGGTTGATAGAGCATCCTTGATTGAAGGTAGGGAGTTGGTGACTTTAGTCGAGGAGCCAACTCACTATTCTGTACCGGATTTACTCCGGTAGTGGAGGTTTTGTTTGTTAAGGCCTCAATCTGTTTACTCCGGTGGAGGTTAGTCGCCCGCTAGAGACTCAGATTGAGAGGGTCTGAAGACCTTTAGTCGAGACTTCAGGCTGTTTAAGAACCTTTCGCAGTATAACTATCATAGAAACTGAACTTGGTAATTACAATCCGGCTTAACTGCAGTCTAGGGGGAACCATATCCGGGTGACCTCTCTTAACCTGAATACAACCGTTTACTTGCTTTGCTAGTTTGTTAGTTTAGACTTGCATTAAAGTTTCATTGCTAGATAACAAGAATTCACTGAGTAGTTATCAAATCTAGGAACCGGGTTGATAATTAAACCTAAACCCGCTATACTACGCTTTAGGAAGTGGTTACACTTGGCCAATTCCTGGAGTGACAGTAGAAGTGAGTCAGCGTTTGACTGTATTAGAAGTGCTTTTTAATATGAGCGATTATGTAAAATGACTATAAAGGACTTATAAGATAAAAATATGAATAAAAATTCTAAACAATAAAAAGTAGTCAAAATGGATCTTGTTAGATTTCTTTTATATTAAATAATTTAATTTTATAATTTAATTTGTTTTTCAAATAATATAAATGAAACAAAATTATATTTTCTGAAATAAAATTATATTTTCTGAAATAAAATTATATTTTCTGAAATAAAATTAAAATATTGTAAGGATAATCTTGTATTTTCAAAACAGCTTTTCGCAGAAGCTCTAAATCGGAGCTTCTGCTTTTATGTTATACAAAATGGCTTTTTGGCTTTTCAAAAGCCGGGCTTTTAGAGGTGTTTGGTCCTGCTTTAGTTTTTGAAACAGAAAAACACTTCTATAAGTTGGACCAAATATATGCAATTTCGTTTCTGACGGGAACAAAATATGGAATTTATGGAATCTAACCACCAATTCCATGAACCCAGCCCGAACCCGTCCGAACCCGCCCGATTGACACCTATAGCGGCAGGTGTGCGTGTGCCTGTGTGGTGTGACAGGATGAGTGAATGGGGAGATTGGGACTGGGCTAGGGTTTCAATTTGGTTGTGGGCTTGTGTAGTGGGATTAGGGGGATTATGTGGAATGTTGCCTGTTGGGTTATAATTTCGGTTTTTCGGTCGAAATTCGAAAACCTCGGTTCGGTTGAGAGGACCTTGGTTTCCGTATTACTAATATTTCCCTTCCGAATTTCGAACCGAATAGCAATAGTTCGGTTTCGTTCGATTTATTTCGGTTTTGGTTCGGGTTTACCGAACCGGATGTCCACCCCTAGTTTGGGCGGGTTACTCGGGTCGGGTCATGTTTTGACACCTATACGCTGGATGTTACTGTAACCACAGACCGTGTAAGGAGTACGGTTGTGAATGACGACAAGAGCGGGCTCCAAGAAGGCCTTGAGTCAGAAGGTGGAGAGGACGATCAAATTTGACCCTCAATTTGCTGATTTGTTGATGAAGAGCAGCAGCAGATCGGTCAGCGAACAGCAGCATAGGTCAAGTTGGCGGAAGAGCTAGATGGAGAGAGAAATTGCTGCAGTAAGTTTCGTCGATTGCGGATTTTGATCAGCGAGATTTCTGATTCACAGTGCGGCGGCAATGTTATCGGGTCAGCGGAACTGTATCGCGGTGAAGAAGTTGATGGGGCTGCTGATGTTGGTGTGGATGGGGCTGCTGATGTTGGTGTGCAAGATTTGGAAGCAGACCTTCGATCCTGGAGACGCCATCGGGCAAAGATACTTGGACTTATAAATAATCCACCTGCTGATGCTAGGCTTGCAAACCTAATCGATAGGTAAGTTTTTTACAATTCATGCTATAGTTATCATCCTTGTAGTATATAAAATTTGTTGACTTGTAGTACATTTTTTGTTAGTTTAATTGGAGTTGAGATGACTATCGACGGTCACGAGAGAAGAAGGAGAAAGCTACTAGCTGCTGCTGTTGGCAGCAATTGATCTGATTCGGACGAGGAGTTGGTCTTTTGTTTCCTTTGGAGAATTCGGAGAAGTAGAGAGAGTTGTATGTGAAGTGTGTCTGTGTTGTCTTGTTCAGTGTGGGAGATGGGATTGGGAGGACAGCGGAAACCAGAGGGCGATGGTTTGGTTGGCTGCTTGCTTGCAAGCTTTCGGGAACAAAACAGAAAGATGCCCGACTTTTCTCTGTTTTTGAGGTTTTCTTTGGACTATCAGGTTGGCCTACGCGCAAAGTCTTAAGTCTTGAATGCAAAACCAAAGGCCAGTCCCTTCAACCTCTCTCTCGACGTCCGCCCCACCGCTTCCCCTGTTCCTCCGATCTCACCCTCCGCCGTCGCTACCCTCCTTTCCCAACTCTCTACCACTACTTTCGAGAACAGGGGAAGCGACCTGATAGTCCAATGAAAACCTCAAAAACAGAGAAAAGTCGGGCATCTTTCTGTTTTGTTCCCGAAAGATTGCAAGCAAGCAACCAATCAAACCATCGCCCTCTGGTTTGCGTTGTCCTCCCAATCCCATCCCCCACACTGAACAAGACAACACAGACACACTTCACATACAACTCTCTCTACTTCTCCGAATTCTCCAAAGGAAACAAAAGACCAACTCATCGTCCGAATCAGATCAATTGCTGCCAACAGCAGTAGCTAGTAGCTTTCTCCTTCTTCTCTCGTGACCGTCGATAGTCATCTCAACTCCAATTAAACTAACAAAAAAGGTACTACAAGTCAACAAATTTTATATACTGCAAGGATGACAACTATAGCATGAATTGTAAAAAACTTACCTATCGATTAGGTTTGCAAGCCTAGCATCAGCAGGTGGATTATTTATAAGCCCAAGTATCTCTGCCCGATGGCGTCTCCAGGATCGAAGGCCTGCTTCCAAATCTTGCACACCAACATCAGCAGCCCCATCCACACCAACATCGGCTGCCAAATCATTCGTGCTTGTTTCCTTCAATTTCCTTCAATTTCAGCACAGATTTGAGCAATCTGTAACTGAGTCTCATGAAACTCGATCATTCGTGCTTGTTTCCTCTGTCTCAAGTCTTGCAAAGCAGGTTTGAGGGCGGATAATTGCTGCTTCAAAGAGCCTTTTACCCTCTTCAATAGACAACAAAATCAAAGCGATGAATGAGAATATAACAAAGCTACAACAGTATGGACATAATTTCCCCAAGAGATAAGAGTTCCAAGCAAAAAAAGAAACCTGAGGAAATGAGGCAGTTTCCCCAAGAGCAGAAACCAGGTCTGCAATTTCAGTTTCTCCGTCAGCCAATGACTGAGCCAACTCAGTTTTGTGCTTTCTGCTGGAGTCAACCTTTCTACGGTAGATATCAAGGCACTGTTGCTCGAGTTCCTGAAGCATCATGTCCTTATCCCCATCCTCCTCTCCAATTTCATCCCATATGACCTTCAACACAATACATTTTCATCGGAGTCAGACCAAAAGAGAACTGAGAATCAAGCTCGAATCTGAAAAATCTCCAACTCGAGATCTAGCGAATTGACCTCCAAAAAACACCTAACTATGAACGGAACCAGAGAGACGGCAAATAACTGATATCGGCGATAATTGAAGTACTGAAACAGACTGTAATCTATCTTTCGGAAGAAGAACGGTTAGCGTTCTCCAGACACGTAAGGTCAGCAGCGAATCAGAAAGAAGAGAGATAGCCATCGCCAGACGAAGGAGGACCAAGCAGACACAGGCAGGGAAAACACAAACGGAACGCTGGTAGTTTACTAAGTTAATCGCCATCGAGAGAGAAGGAGAGAGAGAGAGAGAGGGAGAGAACCTGCAATTGGCGGCGGAGGGAGGCGCAAGTGGTCCGGGAGGGAGAGACAAGAGCGGGGGACGTCGCCATTGTCGGAAGGAGAGTTCGAAGTGCGGAAGTTTGGGTGTGGAAAAAGGGAAATCGTCAAATGGAACACGAAACCCTAGAATTCCAGGGGAGGAAAGGTTTAGAAGGAGGGTAACGGAGGCGCTCCTTGGCTTGGCGTCACTGGAGTTGAGTTGTGCGGCTGGCTGATTACTGAGCACTAGCACCGAATTTTTTGTCGCAGTTTTGGGTTGGGGAAGGAGGGAAGATCCCGATAACTCTTTTTTCTTTAATTCTTTTTTCTTGATTTATGTGTTATGACAGAATAGCCCTTTCCCAATATAACGTACGGCTTTGGAGTCGCTGATTTTGGCGCCAGAACTGCCTTTTTTTCATTTCCGTTTTGTTTTTTCCTTCTTTTTTTCCATAGGTATTTTTATTTTTTAGCCGGAAAAGAGCATAGATGCCAATATGCCATCTATACAATACATTTGCAAGATGAGATGAAGCACAGCCTGTGTGATATACCATCAATTGAGGAAATCAAACTGGCGGTCTTTGACTTAGGCCCAAACAAATCTCCTGACCTGGATGGGTTTGCAGGGTTGTTCTTTCGAAAATTCTGGGATAAGATTGGAGAGGAGTTCTGCAAGGAAATACAAGAATTCTTTAGATCATCGGTTATGCCTCAAGGTTGGAACAATACTCATGTTGCACTAATCCCTAAAGATCATGTCAGACCTATAAGTTGTTGTAATTTCAGATATAAAGTGATCTCCAAGATCATGTCTAGCAGACTCAAAAAATGGATTCCAGGACTGGTTTCTGAGATGCTAGGGGCTTTCACAGGGGGTAGATTGATTCAGGATAACATCATCATGGTGCACGAGGTGTTGCATCATTTTAAGAATCGGGGCAAGAGTGGGAATTGGGATATGATGTTGAAATTAGACATGAGGAAGGCATATGATCTCGTTGATCGGGACTGTTTGGAAGCCATTCTGAAAGCTTATGATTTTGATCAACGTTGAAGAGGGTGGATTAATCAGTGTATCCAAACAGTCCAGTTTTCGATCCTGCTCAATGGGACCCCAACTGAATCATTCTCACCTACAAGAGGAATTAGGCAAGGAGCCCCCTTTCACCATTCATGTTCATCTTGATGTCTAATGCATTGCCATTCTTGATTGAAAAGGGGGTGCAGAAGGGAGATATTCAGGGTTTAAGACTGAACCGTAATTGTACGGTGATCTCTCATTGTCTATTTGTTGATGATACGGCTATCTTCGGCAAAGCAAGCTTGAGTGAAGCTATTCAGATTATGGGCATTTTAAATAATTATGGGAAGGTTACGGGCAAGAGATTAATGTGTCAAAGTTATCACTGTTCTTCTGTAAGAACACTCCAGAGGAAATCAAGAATCTTATTATTTCCCACTTTGGCTTCTCACCTTCGATCTGTCATGATAAATACGTGGGTGCACCTTCGGATTGGGGATGCTCTAGGAAGGAAACTTTTGCTTTTCTTGTGGAGAGAACGGAAAAGAAGGCTAGTTCTTGGAAGAGCCTTCTTCTTTCCCTTGGAGGAAAAGAAACATTATTGAAGGCGGTCCTTCAATCCATTCCCACTTTTATTATGAGTACTTTTCTCCTCCCTCTTTCCATTTCTAATAAGATGGACTCCATTCTTCGTATATTTTTTTGGGTAGGTTCAATGAAAAAGAAGTCCATCTATTGGTGTGATGCAAGGGTTCCTGAAAAGCCAAAACAGGTAAGAGGAGTAGGTTTCCGAAATTTTCATTTTTTAACCTTGCTCTTGTTGGTAAACAGGTTTGGAGAGTGTTGGAAAATCCAGATGCTCTATGGGTTAAGCTTCTGAAAGGACTTTATTTCCTGGATGGTAATTTCTACTCAGCAAATAAAGGAAGACGTGGCTCATGGATCTGGAACGGGTTGTGTGATACGAAGGAGGCACTCAAGTCAGGAATGCTGAAGGGAATTATGTCTGGTGATGATACAAATTTTCATGATGACCCATGGATCCCTTCCATTCCCTCATATTCACTTAAAGACCTCAATTTGCCACCATCTCAAGTTGCTGAATGGATTCGTCAAGATGATAGAGAGTGGAATGTCGAGGCTTTTACGGGAGGTTTGTGGGGAGAAAATTACAGAAGTCGTCATGAAGATTCCACTGGGGACGGCTGATTCTAGAGATAAATGGATTTGGAGATTCAATACTGCAAGGAATTACTCGGTTCGATCGGCCTATCATACTCTCAGAGAGAAACGTGACCAGCAAGGTAACCAAGATCTTCAAGGAAATGCTCAGCAGGATCAAAGGGATTGGAAGTGGCTTTGGTCCCTCTCCCTTCCCCCAAAGATGAGGTTCTTTATCATGAAATTTATTCGGAGAGCTGTTGCGACAAGGGAGAGACTGTTCTCGAGGAATTGTGCTCCTAATCCAACTTGTCCAATCTGTGATGCACCCTCGGAATCAGTGATCCATTGCTTGTTCTTCTGTCACCATGCGACTTCTACTTGGGCACTTTCAGGGCTTATGCCTTCTCTCCTAGCCCATGATTCTTCATTTGAATACTGGTTATTTACTCTCCCGGATACCCTTTCCACTACTCATATTCGGAAGGTAGTATGCTACTTATGGAATATATGGTTTGCCCGAAATGAGTTTATCTTCAATGACAAGGCTATTACCCCAGCCTCTACTTTGACTGTATCGGGTCGAGATTTCTTGGATATAGAGGAAGCGCGGACCACAATGACGGTTCCTCACATTCAGCCTGCGACACAGTCTCGTTCTCAGCCTAGGGGTTCCCGTTCTTACCCACCACCATCGCCTTTCTCGGTCTCTCGAGTGATGAATTGTGACGCATCTTTTGTCTCAGATTCTTCTGTGGCGGCGTATGGTATTACCATTTCTCATTCTCACGATGAAGTGTATGACGGCAAGGCTGAGACGTTCCTTTGTTCCTACATGATTCAAGCGGAAGCCTTTGGTTTACTTAATGTTATCTTGATCGCAGCGCAAGATCCGATCCCCACAAGCATCCGATCTGACTGCCAGAGTCTCACACTTGCGCTGCGACAAAATCCTCTCCTCTGGCCTTGGATGTGTCGTGCGACTATTGCACGTAAGGTCTTAGTCATCCAATAAGCTCCCTAGATTCACGTTCAGTTTGTGCCTAGACGTCTTAATGCGATTGCAGATTGGGTAGCTGGTCAAGCTAGGAGGAACACTTTACCAATGGATTGGGTGTTATTGTGCAACATCTTAGCTCCATTGTTGTAAAGTGGTATTGGTGTAATCTGGTTTCCTTGATTGGGTTGGAATAAAAGGAGTTCTTATTGTAAAAAACAAGGATCTTGCAGCAACGCCTTCATCTCTTATTTGCTCAATTCCTTCTCACACCGAACCCGCAACCCCAAGTTTTCGCACTGGATCTCCGCTAAGAAAATAGTGCCATCATATATGATTATACACCATTTGATGCAGAACAATTCCAATTCCTGAAATACTAGAACGATCCTCTCTCCTCTCCGACCAAATCTCTCTCAACCTAATATGAAATAGAGGCATGGATGTATTTTGTCAGCTACATTCAAAGTGGCTGAGAATATTGCAATGCTGATTTGTTGTGATTCGTGATTGAGGTGGAATGGCATAAAGGAAGGATGGGGTCTCAACTCTGCATATGTTATTGCAGCAGAAGGGAGCAGCGGAAGAGAAAGGGTTGGAGAAGGAGGCAGTTGAGAGGTCGGAGGGTTTTGTCGATGATGGGATGGTCTTTTCATTTTACAAATGACAAACATGCACTTCCTTTGTAAATCTATAATTAATTGTGGTCAACTATAAAAATTAATTAAAAAAATCATCAGAATGTTACGTGTGCACTTTTGCACGAATGAGATTTAGGGAGAAGGATAAGAATTAGAAGAATAGATAGATTGAAAGAAGAAGAAGTGTTCTCCTTAATGGGCGAGAACGGAACCTCTAAACTTTTTCGAGGAAAGCCAGCCTCCCAAATTAACACGTAGGTGTATAAACCCCTTTTCTGATTATACTAAATTGATTCTCATTTACTTTATACATATGCTAATTTAAATAGAGAACTAATAACCTACAAACTAGTAAATCAAACGGTACACCTAAAACAATTATCACCTAACTAAGTCCCCCAATTCTAGGCCATGACTAACCCCACTAATCATGTCCTAATCATCTCTAACAATCCATACTTAATTGTAAAGAAGTCGAAATGCGGAATAAAAGTAGACACGCGATTTACGTGGTATCCCCGGAAACCGGGACTAATCCACGGAGAGTAGAGCTCTCATGCTGAAGTTTTACTATGTGATGAGGAAGATAATCGCAAACCCTTTATCGTGGATTGTTGTACACGGTTAAGCAACCCTTTTATACCCTTCGACATTAACCTAGGGTATTAGGGAGATTTACAATATAACCCCAAAACAAATAAAACGGACAGCAAGGTCCAATACTCCCCCTCAAGCTGGAGAGTGGAGGTTACAAACTCCCAGCTTGGACAAAAGATGATGAAACTGTTTCGTTCCAAGAGCCTTGGTAAACAGATCGGCCAGCTAAGAGCTAGTATGAATCTTCTGCGGCTGTATCTCGGCGTACTGCAAATGCTCACGCACAAAATAGCAATCCATCTCAACATGCTTGGTGCGTTCGTGGAAGACCGGGTTAGCAGCGATATGGAGAGCAGCCTGATTGTCACAATAGAGAATAGTGGGAGCTTGCTGAGGAACGCGGAGTTCACCAAGCAAGAATCGAAGCCATAGAACTTCGCTGGTAGCACTAGCCATGGCGCGATATTCAACCTCGACAGATGACCGAGCTACCACGCGTTGCTTCTTGGCACGCCAGGAGACGGGAGCACCACCCAACTGTATGTAGTACCCTGTCATGGAACGACGGGTTGACTGACAACCGGCCCAATCCGCATCACAGTAGGCTGTCAATGTCAGCGAGCCAGAGGACGGCAAGAAAAGCTCCTGTCCTGGTGCCGCCTTGAGGTAACAAAGGACCCGGTGTGCCGCTGCCATGTGAGCGGGACTGGGAGCGTGCACAAATTGAATCAGAATGCTGACTGAGTAGGCGATGTCCGGCCGAGTGATGGTCAGGTGTAGGGGACGGCCGACAAGGCGCCTATATGCACTGACATCGTCAGCACGCTCATCGGTAGGTCACGTAAGAGTGTGGTTTTGCTCCATGGGAAAGCCACTGGGTCAAGCTGCACTGAACCCGGCGTCGGCCAAGATATCCAACGTGTACTTCCGTTGGCAGAGAACAATCCCTTCAGGTGATCGCGCAACTTCAATGCCTAAGAAACGATCATGGAGGAAGGTCTTCACACGGGAGATGCAGTCCTCATTGTCACCAGTGAGCACAACGTCATCAACGTAGATGAGCGCGACCACATATACCCCAGTCTTCTCATAAATAAACATGGAATGATCAGCCCGATAAACCGTAAAGCCAAACTCGAGTAGGGCAGTGGTGAATTTAGTGTACCAATTACGGGAGGCCTGACGGAGCCAGTAGAGTGACTTGCGCAGGCGACACACTTTGTTATCTCCAGGGCTGGGCAAATCCCTCTGGGACCTTCATATAGAATTCCTCATCCAGCTCTCCGTGAAGGAAAGCATTGTTGACGTCGAGCTGATGAAGTGACCATCCCTTCTAAGCTGCCACAGCAAGAAGTACCCGAACAGTAACCAGCTTGCCACCGGTGCAAATGTGTCATGAAAGTCGGCCCCTTCCATCTGGGTGAAGCCTTTGGCAACAAGACGAGCTTTATAGCGCTCAACGGTGCCATTCGGTTTGTACTTGATCTTGTAGACCCACTTGGAGTCTATGGCATGTTTCCCTGGCGGCAACAACTCGAGCGTCCAGGTGCCATTGGCCTCCAAAGCTGCGATCTCGCGTTGCATATCCTCTCGCCAGTGTTGATAACGCGCGACTTGTGAGAAATGGCGAGGCTCCACATACGATGCCATTGCAGCCAAAAAATCACAATAATTAGCTAAAAACCGTTGATAACCAACATCACTGGAAATGGGAAATTGAACTGAGTGGGACGAAGAGAAACTAGGCAACTGTAACTCATAAGGCGCAAGGTAGCTAGGAGGATGCCGGTTCCGAGCAGGGTTACGCCGAGGTGGCACAGGAGGCGAGGGCACAGGCTGCTCGACGCCATCCTCAAGGCCAGAATCCGAGGTCGGGGAACTAGAACCCGACAAATCCTCGGTGGAACCAAGCCCCGCGGAGGAGGCCCGCACCTCGTCGTCGGGAGAAGGGGGGTCCAAGGTCACATCGGCGTCCTATGCACTGCCCACGTTATCTAAATCATCATCATCAGCAGTAAGGAGCTCCCCCTCGTCACTAGCTGGCTGTGTGCGCTGCATGGCTATGTCATGCACGTCCACGTGGTAAGGAAGAGGAGAAGGAATGGCTGGTGTAAGTCTCGAGGACGTGGCCGTTCAGCTGCTGATCAAGGAAAGGAAAAGTGCCTTCAACAAAGTGAACATCGCGAGAAACAACCACTTTGAGAGCTTGAAAATCAAAAATTCGGTAACCCTTTTGATTGTCGGGGTACCCGAGGAAGATCCCTCCTCTCCCCCTGTCGGCAAAATTGTCGAGGCCATGGTGATTGTCCTTCGCATACGCCAGACAGCTAAAGCTACGCAAGTGGTCATAGGTGGGAGGTCGCCCTAGAAGAAGCTCAAACAGAGTCTTCATAGAGAGGACAGGAGAGGGCATTCGATTGATGAGGTAAGCTGTCGTGACAACACAATCACCCCAAAAACGAATGGGTAACCCAGCATGGAACATAAGAGCACGAGTAGTCTCCAAGAGGTGGCGATGCTTACGTTCTACCACCCCATTGTGCTGGGGAGTGTCCATACAAGAAGTCTGCAGGACAATACCCTTCTCTTCATAGTACCTGCGAAGAGAGCTGGTTTGGAACTCAACGCCATTATCTGCCTGTAATCGTCGCACCGTTTTACCATACTGCGTTGTTGCTAACTCGCAGTGCATCCGGAGGTAGCGTTCAGCATCCGACTTGAATTTCATAAGATAAACCCAGGTTGAACGACTGTAATCGTCTACGATGGTCAAGAAGAATCTCGAACCATCAAGGGCAGGAGTCCGATATGGCCCCCATATATCAAGATGTAAGAGATCAAAACAAGAAGTAGTCTTGATAGAACTTTGAGAAAATGGAGTGCGTGTCTGTTTGGTACGTAAACAAGAATCACAATGAGATGAATGCCTAGAATCCAAAGGACTATTAACAAAATCCTTGAGCAAAACAAGTCTATCAAAGGAAAGATGCCCCAGTCGGGCATGCCATAAATCTGCACTACTGTCCCCGGTAACGACCTTGCAGGCTTGCGGAGAGGCACCACCCGAAAAGCGCCGCAAGTAATAAAGCCCGTCACGCAGTCTACCGATGCCAATTAGTGTCCTGGAAGGTAAGGCCTGAAGCACGCAAAAATCATGAATGAATGTGACTGCAACATTATGATCACGTGCCAGACGACTGACTGAAAGCAGATTACACTTGAATCCCGGCACATGCAGTACACGAGACAAGACAATAGAATCTGAGAATCGTACTGAACCGACCCCACGAACTGGAATACCCGTACCCTCAGGAATCTGAACTTTAGACGACCCAGACAAGGGAGTGACAAAATCCAACCAACGATCATCACGTCTATATGTTCGTTGCACCCTGAATCTATTAATCACTCAGAAAGGTCAGGATGATTACTCGTCATATGTGCAGTGGACTCCGAAGCTGCCTCAGGTGTGGAGGATGACAAGAACTGCTTCAGCTACATGAACTGTGCCATCGTTAACCCTGGGATCAGACTCCCATCTGCTGTATCAGGCTCGACGTGCGCTGCCTGTCGCTTGCGCAAGTTTGATTTGGGCCGATCTTCTCCTTGCTTCGCGTGAGGGTGACCAGGAGGGAACCCAACGAGACGATAACACGTCTCTCGCGTGTGTCCAGGCTTATTGTAGTAGGATCAACGAGGTTTTTCAACGTCCTCCTTCTTCCCTTTGTCGGTCTGAGCTTGGAACGCTGCGGTTTCCACAGCTGGTCCCCTCCCATTAGTGAGCAAGCAATGTTGTTCTTCTGCAGCAACAACCTGATACGCCTCATTGAGAGTGGGGATGGGTTTTGTGCTGAGAATTTGTGAACGAACCACAGCATAGCCCTCGTCCAAGCCAAGAAGAAACTCAAACAGCCGCTCCGTCTCTTGTTTCGCGTGGTTTTGGGCGAGCAGGTCGCAGCTACAGCCGCCACAAGTACAGTCGTTGCAGACGCAGCGCGGCAGTCCCCCATCTCGTCCTAGTACCCACGGAGTTTGGTGTAGAAGGCAGAGACCGAAAATTTTTCTTGTCGGAGTGAGCTGATCGTGCGACGAAGCTCATACGCGCATTGCGCAGACCCGCGACTAAATCGCTTCTGGAGGTCGACCCAAATAGCGCGGGCGGTAGTGGCCATTAGAACGCTGTTGCAAACCTCACGTGTAATCGCCGTCTTTAACCAACCCTTGACGGTAGCATCGCACCGGTCCCAGGCTTCTTGGCGACGTGGAGTTCCTGCCTTGATGCGCGGCAACGAACCATCAACAAAGGCCATCTTATTCTTGGCCACGAGCGTTTCGGTGAGATCATTGACCCATTCACCATAATTCGAATCGTTCAGCAAGTCACTGCCGAAGAGTTGAGCAGGGTTCTCGGATGGATGCAGGTAGAGAGGAGAACTGATCGGAATGACTTTGTCAGCAGTAGAGCCGCCGATGGTTTCCTCGTCCTTAGCCATGATGAAGAAACCCTAATCTCTGAATCTTATTGCTCTGATACCATGTAAAGAAGTCGAAATGCGGAATAAAAGTAGACACACGATTTACGTGGTATCCCCGAAAACCGGGACTAATCCACGGAGAACAGAGCTCTCATGCTGAAGTCTTACTATGTGATGAGGAAGATAATCGCAAACCCTCTATCGTGGGTTGCTGTACATGGCTAAGCAACCCTTTTATACCCTTCGACATTAACCTAGGGTGTTAGGGAGATTTACAATATAACCCCAAAACAAATAAAACAGATAGCAAGGTCCAATATTAATTAATAATAATAAATTAAATTAATGCACATGACACAAAATGGAATGGTTCTATTGCTGGAGATAGTGTTAGCACCATGCTAATAAATTGAGTTTTAGTACCCTAACCTTTCCCGTTGAGGAGCACCCCTACTCTACAACGTTGTTGTATTCTTAAGGTCACGAAAACATATTGAGAATTCATAGATGACGCTATCGGGTGTCTCAACCACTATTCCTACACTCGCGCCTCCTTTTTCGACCAACAAGTCAAAAACCAACTTTCAAGTGTCACCCTTGCTTGTTTTGGAATCTTCTTGTGAAAATCCTTCCACAACAAAGTCTGTCAGGAGCCATCCTTTTGATCTAGTGCCCCTGGAAATATGGAAGAGTTTTTCGTAGTCGATATAATGGCTATGCCAGCTTTTTCGATTGGCATTTACCTTGTAAATGCAGGAAGCAACCCCCTACTATCGTAATTAATTGGATGGTCGGTCGCCTCATGTGAAGACTTTATGACCAAGATTGCACTGACTACAGGGTGAGACTGCTACGTATAGGTATAGCCGTATATGTATAGGCGTTCTCCTTGTACTAGGCCACTAAGGATAAGAGGCATAATTAATTTCTCCTTCAAATCTGCATATTTGTTGCTATATTTAACTTGGATGTTCTTGGTAATTGTTCAAAGTTGTTTTTAGTAGTCTCTAGGGATGTTGTATACTTTGATGCCCTTCATGTATAGTCACACCAAAACACCCTAGTGGACCACTTTTACGAGCTAGAAGCATCAAGACCCAACTTCTGGAAGTCAGAATTGAAGCTAGCACCTAAGCCCATAAATGACAGTCGGATTGTCGATCAAAATCCAAGAGTCATTTCCATAAGGTCCATATCAACTCGAATTCTCTCAGATATTCCTTTCTTGGAGGTTAAGCTAAAGTTATTGTAAAGATATGCAAGCAGAAGAGTTTCGAACTTACAATATCTCTTAGAAAAGAGGGTTACTATTTGCCGCCCATCAAATTATTGTTTGTCGCCCACTTTTTATATAAAAAGACAATTTTGCCCTTTCATATATTTCTTTATAATTCTTTGAAACTTCAGTTTTTTTATTCATTCAACCAACTTCCTCCAACACTGTCCACAAACCACTGGTCACCGATAAACTCGGGTCGCCGACAAACTTGGGTCGCCAATAAACTCTGGTCCCCGGGAAACTCGTCTTGCGGGCAAACTTTAATGGCGGCATAAACGAAATGTCTATCGACAGTGGGAAAAAAATTTTGAGCAAAAAATGGGTCGTCGGCGAGTGGTACGAAATCGATTTTCGGACCATTATGCCCGGTACGAAACCGGTTTTCGGACGACTAAGTCTGGTACGGAAACGACTTTCGTACCACAATGCCCCATACGAAAATTGCCTTCGTACCACTCTGCCAGGTACGAAGATGGCCTTCGTACAAGGCAGTATGGTACGAAGCCAAGTTTTGTATGAGGCATCGTGGTACGAAGGCAAGTTTCGTACGGGGCATTGTGGTACGAAGGCAAGTTTCGTACCGCGCAATCCGGTCCGAAAGTCCTCTTCGTACCGGGCGGTGTGGAACGAAAGCGTGTTTCGTACCGGACGGTCACCTTCGGTCCGAACAAAGTTTTCAGACCACCTTTTAGCGACAGTTTATTCAAACCCGTCGCTAAATGTTAATATTTATGTATTTTTCCTATATTTTATGAACCAGTGAATAATTATTTTAATGATGTAAATAGTGCTAAAATTAAGAAATTAAGCACTTTCGTAATTAAATAATTTTAACCTTTTAAATAATTATAAATGGTCGGAACTAGTGTATAAAAGCATGGATATTTAATTAAAAATTATAATAAATATTGTAAAAAATTATGGATAATTCATTTAAATTATGTAAAATGCTTATTAAATTCGATTAAATGTTTTGCATTGTATCAATTTCATAATTAAATATTTCAAACCTTATATTGTGGATACGAACATGTTGAAATCTATTGTTTCTCAATTAAACGTAGAGAGGACTCGTTGTGGCTTGAGGAAGGTCGGGCAAAAGCATCTTTTCGCATTAGTAGATATATCAACGTGAAAAAATATACAACCTCTCGTTGATCCCCTAAAAGATGGATACAAACATACCGGAATCGACCCATTCTCGATCGGAAGTTTCAAGCTAAAATGGATGAATAGTACCAAAA